TGAACAAATAGATTTTCCCTACCAGCAAATATTAATCCAACACCAAATATAAAAGCAAACACCTACCCGCTATAACATCGTCACCAATGACTAAATCTCTAAAAGAAAGATGAAAACATCAGTAAATTGTAGTTCGGATATGCACTGGCTGGGAACAACAAAGTTTTTTAGAAATTAGTTAAACTATTGTGTTTAAAAAAAAGAGTGAAAAAATGACTGGAATGTATGAATGGCTAGATCAAACGTAGAACAAAAGCCAGGTATGTAAATGTAAGATGGCTAAATCTCTCCAGAATATCAGAGCCTAATAACTCATGGATTTTTATTAGGCAAGACCATAACAATTGCTATGCAATGCTACAATGGACTTTCTGATCTGAGAAGTAATCAGGAAACCAGCTGTTCAACTATTCTTTCACACTTTTTTACACTTTTCATTCTTTTCTATTTATCCTGACTAAATCTTCCTGACTGTATGTCTTTGACAAGATCAGGGAAGAATGCAGGAATGCATCCTTCTCCTTTTAATCTAAGCCCCCCTTCTTGCCCTTAAACAACTTGCTGATTAGAGCACATTTCTTATAAAATGTTCAAGGTTTTAATATGGTGTATCTTCCAGCACTATATTCATGTTTGGTATCATTTTAAATGTCTCTGTGTGATTGGTAAAGTGGTCTTGATTTCACTGCATTATTTCACTTGTATATGTTGATTTGGTTTTTGACTTTGATAAGATCCTTGCCAAATCCTCCCCCCTCCTTAGAGATGATTAACTCCTCAAATTCACCAGGCTGGGGTCTCTGTGACAGTTCTTTTGTCTTGAATTTATGGCTGTTTGTTTTGACTTGAGTATATAAGGTAAAGATGTGGTATGAGTAGGGGGGGATCTTGTAAAAAGACACCCCATTGCAGCATCTCTGAGACTTAGGCCGTACTCACGCTATGTACAGTTGCCTCGAACCGGGCCAAAGCACGCTTGTCCCCCTCCCGTCTCCCCCGACGGCCTGCACTCACACCACAATCAGGCCTTGGCACGCTAACGTCATCGCTGCCGTGCTGTTCAGTGAGAAGCGCTCTCACTCAGCAGCACAGGAGATTGCTTTTGTTATATCGTTTCAGTCGTTTGTTATGCCGTCAAATATTTCGCCAAACAGTCCTTAGAGATGCGGTGACACGCAGTCAGATATTTCGCCGAACAGATCCGCCACTTTTGGCGCTCATAATCATAATGCTCTCGTGCTGCAGGAATGAGGAGGTCTGCTGAAGGCGCGCAGCTGTCGTGCTGTGAGGAGTTTGCGTCTTTAATAAACTACGACAGTTTGCATTCACTGAACAGTAAGAATAATTAATTAATCTATATGAAACAGTCCCTTAAAAGTCACCACTCGCTTTCAATTTCGAGCCCAAGTGAACCGCGCACAGGCCCACCTCTTCCAACTGGGCCAGGGCCGGCTAAGTGAACCGTCCCAGAGCCCGATTCAGCGCACTCACACTACTCAAACGATCCGGGAAATGGACCTGGGCACGGTACGGATGGCATAGTGTGAGTAGGCCCTTATGCTGCAATGTATTTCTCTGGTCAGGTATGCATCTCTAACTCTTTGATTTATCTTTGATTAATGGATGTTGTATTGTTAGTCTCATCTCTGAATTGGCTTCCTGATGGTTTATTTTGTAATTGGCAGAATACAATTTTACCTGACAAATAAAATGTTAAGTTTTGATTAATGCTGGAGCTTTGTGAATTCATCGTATCCAGTAGATTAGAGGAGTCTTCATTACCTTTATAGTATGGCATAAGTTAAATTGATTAATAGGCACATTTGATTATACGTAGCCATAGAGAGCCTATAACATGTAGACCTTTTAATCATTTAACCACTGAAAGCAGCAAGTTGCACGGGTGTGCCTAAAGGATCTATTTTTTAGGACTAGGTGAGCGTTATGCAATCAGCCTATTTAAATATTAATTAATCCTGCATCCTCTGACTATTTTCAGAGTGTCGACATATTGTCCGTGAGAAGATGCGCAAACCCGAACGTGGAACTCTGAGCGATGTTGGTCCCTAATGAACGTAGAATTTAGAATATCGGACCTCAGAAAATATCAAAACTCTAAATTAAATCATAAATGATGAATGTGATCCGTTCTTACAATTAGAAATACAATCTAAATTTTGGGATCATTTAAATTGGAGTCAGATTGAATTCGGAGCTAAAAAACGAATATAAATAAATTCTAATAATTAATAAAATTCTTTACAGAAGCACTAGAAAAGGCTTACATGCATTAAACCTTCAACCATGCTGGTAGTTTCGTCATTGGGCTAATAGATGGACTCCTACAGTAATAAACGACCAATTTATTAAATATTGGTTGCATAAATGTGAACCTTTTACATAAGATATTAAAAAGAAAAAATAAATATTATAACCCTGAAAAATATCTTAATTGAATAAACAAAAATATAATTTTTGGTAGTTTTTTGGTAATTTGGTAACAAATGGTAGAAACAGCTGACAGCAGGAACATAAGAAAAAGAAAATTGTTAACTGACCAACTGCTAAAGGTTGAGTGCCCAAAGTTTCAATTTCACACACAGCTTTTTGATGAATTTGTGATCCAGAAATCTTTCACACTGGGCAGCAGAAATAGGGAGTTATTGTTATAAGTTATTGTTAAGTTAATAAAATGTGCAGTATGGCTAGTACAAACATTTACATGATCAGAGCTATTTCATCTGTATTTGTATCATAAGAAGTTAATGGCTGTATCAATGTTTCCAAACATTATTAATTTTATTATCTTTAACATAAATATACTTACAGTAGATGGATTAAAACACACATTTTCTCCACAGCACATACAATAATGTGACCTTTAAGAATAATTTTATTTATCAAAATTCATTATATTTACATAATATATTGCACAGATTCCACCTTACTGCCCACACATGAAAAGTACAATGTAAATAGAGACAGAACTGCAAACTCATGTGCAAAGCTGACACTCTTTATCAGAGCACTTTCTCTTTCTGGGCTTTTTAAAGAAGAGTTAAACATGGAATTGCCTATAATTAAAATTGCCTTCTGCCTGAAAGTAAGGCCATTCTTTCTTTTAAACTGTAATGGCCCTAAGCAACAGAATGATTTCTCATTCTTATTTAACAGACAATTAAAACAACAAAGATGTTTAGCATTTAACACCTTTTACATGACACTGTTTCTTTTCAGTGTGTTCAAGTAAAAAAATGAACTAAAACTAATAAATCCACTATTTCACTCCTACTATCCATGTACACCACTGACAGGTCAAATCTGCTCCCTCTCTAGTCTTGGTGCTGCTGAAAGATTGAGATGCATTGGCCAAAGTTTGCGTATGAAGTAATGTCCCGGATTCTGCTTTTTTTAGCTGCGTGTCTACATGTAAGTTGATTTAGAAATCTTGGCTGAATGCATTTTTTAAGTCTTAAATAGAGGACATGTCCAGGAAAAAGAGGTTGTATTGTCACCCTAAATAATGAGTTGGATCAGTCTATTTAGTATACGGCTTTTCTTCTTTGCGTGTCCTCACGCTCTTCTCAAAGTTAAAGTCAGAGCAGGTGTCCAGCGCATCTCTGTTTGTCTGCAGCAGCAGAGCCCGCGAGTCTGTGGCGGAGACTTTTCTCATGCACACAGAACCGGGCCGATGAGGTAAAGTCTTATGTGTGGGAAGCGCTGGTGATGAATTAGGTATCACACTGGATGAACCACGACATGCCATGACCGAATTAAGGCTCGCACGATGTGTGCTACGTCGCCATTCGGTGCTTTATGTTGCCTAGCAGCCTTATGCAAAACTATGTAAAGATCGCTTGACGTGAGGTAAATAAACCAGTAACGTTAGAGATGTGCCGTTGATGGCGTCAGCGTGTGCTACCGTCACAATAGATTTCCATCGTAATACACCATAACTTAAGTGTGAAGAGTATGTTACAGTTTTTTACAATGGCTATGACACTTTTTTTCAATACATTTAACAAGTTTCCTAAACTCTTAACACAGTTAGCACAACATCCGTTTTTGTGGGCTATACAGTTAACACATTTCATGTTGTTTTGACACAAAATGCATCCAGTTAACACAAACTTAAAATGCTTAAACTTCTTTTACACAAACTCAACCAAGAGCAAAACAATGTAATTTTACAGTCAAATTTACAAATGCTTTCACACAGTATGTCAGAACAGATAACACCATGTTCTAAACAGAAATAATATAGGATAAAGTCAAGGTGAACAGCTGTTCTAATTGTGAATTGAAACACAAATATATTCCCTGTATTTTATTCAATTGCCAATGCAAAACAGCATATTGCAGTTTATATATATATATATATATATATATATATATATATATATATGACAGCTAACTCACATCTAGAAAGCACACTCATTGAGGTATTTCTAATCACATGATCATATGTTCTAATAGAGGACTCTCAAGGTTTTTGAAAGGAACAGTGAGCACATCAAAGAACTCTGTCACCAATACGTCCAGGTAAGATTATGCAATACAGTCATTACTGTACTATACACAGTGTGTTTTGCAGTAAACAACTCTTTCAACCTAGAGTTAATAAGTACATACAGTACATATACAGTACAGCATTTGCATACACTGTGTTTAATTACTTTCAGAGAGTCATAAATTTAGAGGCCAATCAAATACCACATGAAATTTTGTATGTTGACAAGGCTGGGGATGTCGCCGTAGAAAAAACATAATAGGCCAAAGGGCCAGTTACCGTGCCGGGCCATAGAAGATATAAAGTGTAATGTGGATGAGAACATGTGGCAAAAGACCAGGCAGAATAGAAGATTACTTTGTTATTTTCTTATAATTGTGGTGCTTTTTCTGTTTGCAGTGATGTCCTTTTGCAAATAAAGTCTGCACTGCAACAATTCTGTGTCTGTATTTTTTTACATAAACTGTAAATTTTATAAAGCAATTTTTTTCTTAGTTTTTGTATAGAATTTTTGCAGTAAAAGAAAGAAAATGCCTGCATTTACTAAACCCAATGAAACAAAACTGTAGAGACTTCAAATATAAGAGCAGAGCTGACACAAGTATAATTATGGAAACTGTGTTCATCATAAAAGCTACGTCATGTATGCTGGCCTTAGCACCTGTCAGTCGGTCAATCAGTCAGTCAGTCCGCATGTCAACCTAAAGGGTTAAACAAATAACGCACAGCATGCTGACAGAAAAGCTCGCTCTGTAACAATTCACTTGCCTTTTAATATGTTTTGGTGCAATTATAACCCGCAATTAAAAATAAACAACAACTGAATGTTTTGAATGAGAAACTGTTATGTAGCTGTGGCAAAAATGAATTGGGGTGTGGCGCCCCGCCATGAAGGAATGAATGTAGCGGAAACCATGAGATTATGGAGAGAAAAATGCATACAGAGATTTGCTTACACTGCAGTGTGCAGCGAGAATAACATGAGCACTTAAACATATACTGACCCTCTCAGCCATGAAAAACACCCTAAGATGCTCACATTTTAAGAAGATGTCAAGATGGCAGGTGGAGACACACTGTATAAACAGTGGACAGTTCAGATGGTCCAGGAAAGACTTCAGATTGCTCTGGGTGTTGCTCTGGACTTCCTTAGCTTTATAAAATTGTCTTTCTTCATTAAAAACCTTCATGGTTAATTAATAAAAAAGATGGGAACTAAGACAGTGGCGAGTGGATAAGGTCAATAATTATGCAAACAAATATTATATTTCTAAATGATTAACGTGCTATAAAATTCCTTTATCTGATCTGTGCATTTCTAATGTTCCTAGTCTGGTTATCATACAACTCAGAAATCATCTTATAATATCATGAACATGTGGCTGTGACAAAGCAGACCAAAGTCGTACCATAAAGTGGAATAGTGCAATGTCACAACTCTTCAATCAGACGATAAACTGGTAAAACTGGTAAAATCTTAAAATCATTACTCCAGAAGAAAGGAAAGACAGTGTCAGTGAAAGTGGCTGTGAATGTGTAAAGAGGTGTGTTATTTCCAGAGTCAGAGAAACACACTGTTCCTTCATCACAGTCCAGATCAACTCTCACACGCTCAAGTTTCTGTTTAATGGGAAAACCAAAGCGGTCATCCAGTCCGTACTGCACCCACCACACATCAGAGTTAAAGAAAACACAGCCCTTCCTCTGGTTTGATGCTGTCGTTACTCCAACACTCCAGTACAAACTCTCCTTCACCTCCACATCCCAGCAGTGCTTTCCTGAGGTGAAACCCTCTGAACCCAGAACACATGAATACTCATCAAACCTCTCTGGATTATCAGGAAACGCTTGGCTGTTTAAGCTCCATTTCAGGCTGGTCAGATCATCAGACAGGAAGAGGTTTCGATGAGCCACGTTTGGATCCAGAATTATTGGAGCTGAAGAGACACAAACAAATGCTGCTTTTAATTTAATGTTTGTATTAAGAGTGAACTGTATGCAGATAATGAATTGTGAATAAGGCTGCATTATATTGAAAAAAAAAATTTGACATTGCGATATTTTGTTTAGCTGAGATATGAATACAGTCTCAACAAATAACTTCAATAGCTCTATTTGGAAAGAATTCATTGATTTAGACCAGGGATCACCAACATGGTGCCTGTGGGCACCCGGTAGCCTGCGAGGATCACATGAGTTGCCCTTGGGCTTGTTATAAAATTAGCTTACCATAGCACCACATACCAGTAAGCTGCATCTAATATTTTTTGTAGCTATTCTTTTTAAATCACACTTGCATTGGTGTAAAATTGAAAATGACATTAAGTTATATATTAAAAAACTTTAAAAACAATTTCAGACAAATGAAGAGCTGCATATTGATATTTATCTCTTTCCAATCAATGTTGACAACTATTGAGAAACCATTAACATGATCAGTGTCTTCACATACATGAATATCATTAATTATTATTATTAATTAAGCAAATTTGTTATTAGGAAGTGTGTAACAAACTGGTAGCCCTTCACATTAAACAATACCCCAAAAGTAGCTCTCAGTTTTCAAAAGGTTGATGACCCCTGATTTAGACTGATTGGGATTGTTCTGGAAGATTTGGGGGATTATTCTCAATTGTTACTGGGAAGATAGAAGTGAAATATATTACATCATAGCACTCAGCTACAGAAAATGAACAACCAAATGTAAAATAACACCGTAAAGTCTTTATTGTATAACTACATCTTTATTAGGAATTAGAAACAGTACAATTTCATGTGCCTGAATCTTTACACGCTCACAGGCCTAAAAAACACGCGCAAACGATAAACTTTCACGTCATTATGGTTAAACTCTTCAGTGACTCCAAAAATCTTCAGTGTTCTGAAATGTGACTTATAAACTCAACATTGCACTTTCTACAATGTGACTATTGCTGATTCGCACATTGAGATATCAATATATTGATATATTGTGCAGCCCTCATTATAAACACTTGATAATTCAAAGCTCTTTGGCAGCTGCTGCAGAGATCAATCTATCTGTCTATTCTATCTAGTTACAAATCTTTCTCTATATACAAATACACTTTTCTTTTTTTATTACTTTTCATCAGCACCAAGGCACACGGCAACCTCCTCCTATGCTGTTTCTTTAACCTGCAAGTCTTTATTTTACAAATTATATAGATCAGTAAGATGCAATATACAGTATTGCATGTCTGGTGCAGTCAAAAGACAATTGCCTGTGATATCATGTCATTTGGTTTTTGATTGTCAGGTTGTTGTAGGCCAAGTTACAATGATATTCAGTGTTACTTTCTCTGCTTCAGTAATGTCCAGCAGCGGAGTAACAGCTCATGCAAAGGATGAGATGGACAAAAGTAATTAGCGCATGCCCTTAATTTACTTATTTTTGTGTTGTCAGGATCACAGTGCAAACAGCTCAAGGGTGGAATAACTTGAGTGAACATAAAACAAAGCTGAATAAAACGTTCTTCCTCTGCTTTAGTTGCACAGCACAGCACACAGCGAGCTCACATCATCCAGCATGTGTCAAACTACACTACCCACAATACACTTCGCTATGGACTACAACTCCTGTAAATCTTGTATTAATCTCATCTTGTCTTAAAGCGCCCACTTTCTGTTTCCCCTCTCCTGCAACACTAGTGTGCAACTTAAGCAAAAGGGACACTAAAATTGTTTTACATTTGGTTTTGTAGTTCGGGACTAAATATTTGTTTGTTGCAGTTTTAATCGTTTTAAGTTCATTTGATTGACTATATATAAGTTAGTGGATATTATTAACGCATTTATTGGGGAAAAAAATGCTACTTTCTACTGTCATTCAATGCGTTTTGGTCATTAACAATGCACTGTCACTTTAATTGAGCGTGAGCGAGCAGCGCGGCAAAAATAGACCCAGCGCTGAAACTATCACTGCACTGCTGCTTCAGCAGTGCTCACGCCTTGCGATGACGCGTTGCGTGTGGTATGAAAGCTTTAATCTGTTAACATGGGCGCAGAAAAAAGCACACGCTGTTCACGCTCTGCTTGTGCTTGCAGTGTGAAACAGGCTTTAGATAATCACAAACTTTGGTTTGGTTTTATCATGTTTTATAGGGATGTGACAAGTTCTCGTAGAGAGATTTCTCGTCGAGGTGAAAAGTTGTATTGTGAGTTGTGATGTTATGATGGAGCGTGAGAGTGAAATTAGCATAGACAACTGAAGGCAGGACTGGATTTGATCTGCAAATAAAGTGATTTGCACACACCTGACAACCCAAGCTGGCCTCGGAGTTGCGCTTGTCACTCGGTTGGGTGGGCAGATGTGACGGAACCGTTTTTTTCACAGGAGTTCAGCAAATGCCGCATCCAACACAGGCTACAACTACAGCCTCACAACATTATGGTTCGGATCCATGCAATGAAAAAAGCCCTTAAGATATGCTGAAAGTCAAAATTGTCGTAAACACGATTGGAATTAAGACATTGAGTATTCTTACTTTACTCGCATTATTGAAGTGGAGGTATGTACACGCCATAATCAAACTATTAACACCGTGAAGGACATTTAGCTACATTTTGCGACAGGACCTACACACCTAGCGAGTCAGTAAAGCACCACAGATGCACAAATCTCTAAGCATGCGCACACAAACACACACACTCCTGGATACTCATTGTCACATCATCATTACGGAAAACACGTTTATGCTGTCTGGGAAAGGCTGAATTATTATTATTTTTTTTTTATTCTGCGTGCGGCACCAAACTCAATTAAAACAACTCTCTGCTATCAGTCCTTACTTCATATTCGCATGATCGCATCCAGTAGCTCAGAGTGAGTCACGGGCCTGAATAAAATCTTGCTAAATAAACGTGAAACTTATTTCTTAAATTTAAAATTAAATACTAAAAATTACAGATTTTTTTTAAGTTTAGTGTGTGGAAAAAAGTTCGATATATCAAGTGAAATTGTACAGGGGAGAAGCCAGACAGCAGAGTTTATAGCTAAATATAAGCGATGCTCCGATTGATCGGCCAATATTGGCTAAAAGTAGTTTGATCGGCTAACCCCAAAAGCGGCAATCAAAAAAGCCGATCCCTTGACGTAAATTACTCGCATGACTTTTTCACACGTGCATGCGCACGCAAGGATAAACAACGGCAGAGCAGAGCGGAGCTTACCAATGGCAACAAGAGTTCCCCTGTCTTTTACAAAGTGTTCAATAAAGACGTAAAGTAAGACGTTTGCAATGTATGTCGTGATAAAATCCCTCAAGGTGCAAGCAAGGCATTTTAACACCACTAACATGTTAGTCTTAGAACACGCCATACAACAGAATATGCCGAGTATGAGAAGTCTGCTTAAACAACGTAAACCATACAGCAGGGATAATTCGAGGTGGAAAGACATCGCGTTCAGACCCATGAAATGGTAATAATAAACGTTTACAAAGCCATTTAAGGCTTTCGAAAATCCCGATCGCAGTATATATGTCCATGCCTAATATCGGATGGCCAGAAAGTGATTATTTTTTTATAAATTGTTAAAATTTTGGTATTTGTGATGCAGCAAGCCCAGAGATTGTTGTGTACACTATGATTCTATATAAAATTAACTTTAATGTGTGATAGGAATAAAACGTGATCATTAACGAATGATTTCTCCACTCAAATGAATGGCAGCTTGGACTCGGAAACAGTATTACATACATCACCACTTAACAAACGGATTCTTTAGATACTAGTGCTTTTAAAGATATACTAGTGCTTACTCAGACACTAGCTCATTTTTTAGATACTAGTCCTAATTCATTAGATACTAGTACTTATTAAGATACTAGTTTTGATTCATTAGACACTAGTACTTATTTTATTAATGAATAGTAACTGTTCTGTTGGTACTAGTAACAGATGTAAAATTTGTCCATTGATTTCTATGGGATCTGTCGTTGATATATCAAATTAAGTTTTGAGTAGTGTGTATTCCAGCTGGGACTGGTGCATATTTCTATGTACTGCTAGTTAATCATTAACTACTGGTACTTATTAATTAGATAATAGTATCTATTTAATAGGTAGCCTACTAGTACTCATTCATTAGATACTAGTTCATCTGGTTGTTCCTCCTTGTTTCTCTGCCTTGTTATTTAGAAAGGAAGGCTTTGGCTTACAGTAGCTTATTAAATTACTTTTTTTTTTTAGATTTGATGTAGTTGTACCTGGTTCATAATAATAACAGAAAAAAAAACTTGTCATATTGTCCTTTGTGGCAGTAGCCAGTTTTGTTGAAGTTTCACATTTAAAATGTAATCAGTGTATTAAGAGGCTACATGCCATTAAGCTGATCTAATGTGTGTTGGTCTGCCTGACCCCTCTTTGTTTAGAATAATTTTAAGTTACTCTGCCTTATTTGGGAAAGATGGCCTACAGTAGCCCTGAGTTCTCATTTTCTAAAATAAACACTTGGTGGACAAGATCTTGACTGCAGCCTATTTCTACAGTTTTTTCAATATAGTTAGAGCTAGTTTAATTTCTACAAATGGTGCAAACTCTGCTAAATTATAGATAAAAGATTCCCATTCCCCTGCCATTATGTGATCATAATTTTGGTGATCAGTAAACAGCCCCAAAAATGCTGATCGGAGCATCTCTAGCAGTGTTGACATGTCCTTTATGACATAGAATTCATTTAAATAGAAATAAAATACCATTCATTTAAGTTTTTAGAAAGCACCTAAATTGTTTTGTATTTTGTGATTTTTTTTCTAGCACCCGGAGGAAACCCATGCGAAGGCAGGGAGAACATGCAAACTCCACACAGAAACGCCAACTGAGCCGAGGTTCGAACCAGCGACCTTCTTGCTGTGAGGCGACAGCACTACCTACTGCGCCACTGCCTCGCCCGATAAAATTATAAATAAAAAGATTATTTACCGTTCACATAGGCTATTAGCAAATATTTAGCAGTGTTTGCATGTCCACTACTGCGCATAATTCATTAAAATAGAAGTAAAATAACATTCATTAAAAAGAAAACATTCATTTAAAGAAAGCACCTAAATAGTTTTGTGATTTGAGTTTTTTTTTCAGCTGAATAAAAGTTATTCTAAAATCAAAATTTGCATGAGCTGAAAAACATCCTGCAAGTAATCTAAAGCAAGTGACATTTGGTGTGACATTTAAATAATTGAAGGGTCATTCTGAAACAGTGGTGATATACATTATAATGTGAGGATATGGGATATACTATGTTTTCCACACCTAAAGACATTTAGGAACAGTTTATTCCACATCTAATCCCTTCTGTTGTTTTTTGATTTTTGATTGTTGTAGCTGTGCAAAAACTGAAATCATTTAGTGGAGTGATATGGAACTGTAATGCACTCAAAACCTGCCGGAACTACTTTAGCTGTGTGTTTATCTGACAATAACTGCACACTGTCACATGCGCAACAGCCAATCAGAATCAGTACTGTAGTATAAAGTTATACAAAGGGAACCACTGTGTGTGTGTGCAGATCTGTAGTGTAGACTCTTACTGTAGTGGACGATGTCCTGCATCATCTTCCAGACTCTGTACTGCAGGTTCCCCAAGTACTGAGACACGTGAATCAAAGCTCCGGAAGGCATCTGTGGATCCGGCTGTGAGATCTGGACTCTGGAAGAACATTTATGAGTCAGAACTGCAGTGGCTTTCGCTTTAGAAGCAGAAAGAGCAGAGACACCAGCAGATCACTCACCTTTCCATTTTAATCCGAAATTTCTGCAAAAGAAAGACAATTGATCATTCAGAAATTTCCCAAAATATCAAATCACTAATGTGAAAATTGATCAGACCTTCAGAAAGCAGACGTCACTGGCTTTCAGCATCTCCTCCGTGTCTCTGATTGAGTCTGAAAGAGCTGAGATGTGCGTGTTCATCTCCTCCAGCTTCTCCTTCATCATCTGCTTCTTCTGCTCCTCTTCCTCCCTCAGTGCAGTGATTGTATTTTTTTCTTCATCTCTGAGAAACTGATGAAGCTTTCCAAACTGCTGTTTAATCTGACGCTCAGTGTGATCAGCTTGAGCCTGGAAGCAAATTAGTCACTTTCTTCTAAAAGGGAATGTTTAACCAAAAGTGAAAACTCTGTCATTTACTCCCCCTTCACCTGCTAAAACCTATTTAAACTATTTTTTCTGTTGAACACAAAAGACGATATTTTGAAGAATGCTGGTAGCTGGCACCCATTGACTTCTATAGTTTATAAAATACATATTATGGAATTTAATGGTTGCCACAGAGCAGCATTCTTCAAAATTTACATGGAAGTTGAAAAATGCCAGAACTAAAACACATGACTTCAAAGATACTTTGCATAAAAGCATCTGCTAAATGAATGAATGTTTTTCACCTAATGAAAAAATAATTATCTCAGACTAAGAATGTAACAATGAAACACAAACTTACTTTAGTTGCGATTTGGTCATATGAAGAGATTTGTTTTATTAAATTTCCATTCCATTGTAAAAAATAAACATTGTGATCAACTCTAATCGTTGAATCACAATCATGAATCAAATTGAAAGGCATTTTGGGTTCAGTGAATCATTTTATGTCTGGGTCAAAACAATTCAGCTTTTCTTTCTCACTAAACTCATGAACGTCAGAAGAATCAGTCCTCACCTTTATGTGTTGAAACGTTTTCTCAAACCTTTCCTTTATTGTTTCCTTATGTCGGAGTTCCTCTTGTAAGGCCTTCAGTGATGAACTGAACTCCTCCTACAATTTAAAACAGAAAATATATTATCTACAGTAAACTATTTGTTCATATATTTCATGAGAAAATATCATGAGCATACAAAAAATATAATATTTATGCAGGGTTCCCATTTAAAAACATATCAAAACCAATGACTGTAAAAAATATGGACGACGCGACAGCCCTTTTTCCCATTGAACGCCTTGAGGGCAAAACGCCTGCTTGACGGGCACAAACTGTCGCAAAAGACTGCTGAAATTGGAGCCAGACATGCGCAGAAGGATTGTCTGATGGAGCCAGAGGAGGAGCCGTGAAAATGAGCAGAGTCGAGCTTCCAATCAAACGCTTTATGTAAAATCAACTACGCCCCCCAAACTTCTCAGCATGCGTTTGCTGTCATATCAACACAGATGGATGTAATAACGTTAACAAATATGAGGGTTTTATATATTCAATCGCGCCAGCTCCGGGCCGCAGCGCATAACTTACTCGCGGCGTCGCGGGCTGATTCCGGCTCGCATGTGGCAGCGCCGGCTCGCTCGGCCGCCGCATCTGGCTCGATTGACTCGGGCTGGAATTGGGTAGTGAGTCCAGGCATCCGGAGAAGGTCCAGCAGAGGTAACATTAGTCAGTCTGAGCTCTAAGAGATAAGTCTCCGGCAGGCGAGAATCTAGCCGGAACTGTGTTTTGCTATCTGGGTGGCTAGGCGTGTATCAGCAAACTAATAAAGCCCGAAAAAAGCCCTGAACTTAGCGAATAAACAGTGTTCCACCAGGATCATGTATGTCAGAAACTATAGTTTACTGCTGAACTCATTTTGTCATGGTAAAATAACACAGAAATCGAATAATAACATTTCAGTCTACTTCAGTCTCCTGCCGAAGCTCAGACGCCGCGCTTTGAGAAACTGTCAATCACAGCTGTCAATCACGATGACACGCCCAGCATTAAATTACTGCTAAAAACAAACTGTTTACAAAAATGAAGATCTGCACCTATTTCAGCACAATAACCAGTGCCCTAATCGACCAGAACTATCTTTCGGGACATTTTATTGCAAGTGTAATATTTTTTTTTATTTGGGCTCAAGTCTCCTTCATTAACACGGAGAGGCGGGCTTTATGACTTGTACTGCAGCCAGCCCCCAGGGGGCGATCTAACGGCCGAAACCTTCACTCAAACGTAGGCTTGCGGCACACTTGATCAAAACATTCACTGCTTTTACTGACTAAACATCTTATTTTCTACGACAACTAATAAATGAAATCTGTTGCACTTTGCATAATATTAGGAATAAATGCACAAAAGTACGCACATCAATCTAAAATGGGTGCTTAATCAAACAACAAGAAGTACAAAAAAATATACAGAGGTGGCAACACCAAAGCTAAAAAAGGCCATCACGAAGGACTGGACATAAGGTCTGTTGAAGAGCCGTGTGCTCACATGCTTTGTTTTTTTTTAGTTAATAAATTTATATTTTGGAGCTTTGCTGTAGTCACTTGCATAATATTAAAATGGTTTTAGCTTGAATATCATTTTGAAGCATTTTAATAGCTACTAATAACACAACTGATTATGGCTGCATGATATTAGAAAAAATTTGACATTGAGATATTTTGTTTTTCTGTGATATATATTGTGTATACTCTATCTATACAGTTTCACCAAATGACTGAGTATCACTATTTAAAAAGAATTAAGAAGTTAATAATGAGAATTGGTCCCTGAAGTGTTATTAAACGTATTCAATTTGATTGTCTGGGATGGATCTGTACAGGAGAGAATCATGCAAAAAAATTAATAAACTACAAGCATAGATGAACAAAATAAAGCAAATATAAAAGTGAAATAAACTGTGTGCTTTGTGGTTTTTTATGTGTAAATGTTAAAATAACACTACATAGTCAACTGAACATTGCATATCTATGCGATGTGACTTGCAGATGTACTCATTGCAGTATCGATGCTGAAACAATATACTGTACAGCCTTACAACTTATCATTTATCACTGCTTTTGAAAAAAAAATACATAATATTTGCATAAAGTGCTTCCTCGACAATTTTTGATAGCTCAATAGTAGTTTAACAACCTTTATTGTCCGTTTACACTGAGTGGTACAGCTGTCTAAAGGTACCTAAAAGCGAACCGTACTGTACCACTTTTTGGTGGTACAACAAAGGGTACCAAAAGGCTGACCTAGACTCGCAGCTGAGTGCAATTGGTTTACAGAGATACGTCACTAGCTTATGGACAAGCAGGAGAATGAAAACAAAGAAAACGTCATTTTTAAATACACAGCCGAAACATTACACCGTAATAATGCATACATATAATAACGAGCCATGGTCAACCTGACCACAAACAAACATTGTCATCATCTTGATGAACAGCCAAAGCCAAAAACAAGAGCAGCTTGTAGTTGTTTACAAGCCAGTCTAAAGCGCCAGCAGTTTTGCTTTCTTGCTTGTGCTTGCATGCGCATCTATATTTGAAATATCAAACTTCTTGAGCTGATAATAACGTGCACGTGATTATTAAAGTGCTTCTTACATCTGATCCTCTCAGAAACGGACAAACGGGAGAGTGAAGCACAAAAAACAAAGAAGCAAATGATTCTTTCAGCAACCTAAAAGATAAACAAACTGCCATGTTTAACTATTATCATCACCTTTTAGACTATTATGAACTCGGAATGACGAAAACACTTTCTAACAGAGGTCACACATGCTGGTGAAGATTACAGACAAACCTGAGAGGCTCTGACTGTGGTCAGCATGTAGTTTTTGAACATAAATAAGGACTAAATATATGCTGCGTGTAGTTTTTCCATAATGGGGTAAATGCCAAAGTTTGCTAATAAGACTTTTAATTTGCCAGTAACCTGGGTTAAGCCCTTCCGGTGAACTGAATGCCAATGCAAAAATGGCGTGTTTAAGGTTTGTTTTCTTTAAAAATCAGCGATCTCCACTGACTGAGTGATATCAGAGTATAAAGTGGGTCTCAGATTGTACAAGAAGCACTGCATTAAATGATATCTTTCCTGCCATGTCTTTATAATATGAACATTTATTTTACCCCAGTATATTCAATGGAGCTTTTGCGATAGCCTGCCGATTCTGATGGGCACGTGTGAGTAAACAGCTTTTTGTCTCGTTTTACGCTTGAGCAACTAAATGAACGCCAAAGTCTATTTAACTGATAGTATTGTAATTACATTACAACATCGATACTGTAAAAGGAAGTGTATAAAATGGAAAAAAAAACCTCACAATAACAGGTCACCAGAAGTTTATCCGTATGAGAACAACACTAGCTCGGCATTACCCTTTTGGTAACGTATCGGAGATTGTATGGGGCAGTATGTGTTCATATATGCTGCATTTAATTATTTATTTCATATAATTACAGACGTTACAGTAGGCTTTTACACAGTCATTGATCTGCAGTTATAATTAAATCATGTTTATAGAAAGGTTAGTCATGAGCATTTATACACATATTTATGTGTATAAAGCATCCGTGTTGCGAGAAGTGCTTCTCATGTGATGTGTGAACAGCCCGTACAGCTTTACTGTAGACATTTCCTCAAGCGAGAATGACGTTGACTGAAACTTTCTGTAATAAACCACGCAGGCAAAAAGGGTACCATTGTAGCAGTGGAAAGAAGACTGATAAAGGTGACCCGTACCATACTGTAAATTATACTTAACTTTTCTGTCATCTAGTTTTAAACTTTAATTCACAGATTTTGAAGTTGCCATTTTGAAGCCAAAGCTCTTCATATGTACAGCACTTAATATTTGAAATGGACAAGAGAAAGTGTTGTTTAATAGATTGCACAACTTTGATGAAAGATTTCAAACTACTTCAAACGTTGTTGACTACAGTACATTACTGCTGTATGCTAGCATACAATTTCTACTAAACATTGAACTTTCAAAGTCTAAAATGGTAACCCTGACTATACACAACTTATTTAATATAATCCAACAGAGTTAAATCTCTTACCTTATATGATGAAGCCACTTCACCGACGGGTCTGAATGTGTGTCCGGTGTGCATCTGTGAAGTCATACACACCAAACACGCCGGCTGTTTGTCCTCCAGGCAGAAGAGTTTGAGCGTCTCACCGTGTAAACTGCACATCTCCTCTGACCTTGATAAACTCTCGCTTTCCTCTTTTTGAAATGACTCGCACAAGTTTTTCAAAGCAAGATTACGAGTAGGTTCATGCGCTGATAACATCCTACAGACGGGACACTCCCGAGCTTTCTTGACTTTCCAGAACTGCTCAAGACACCCTTTACACACACTGTGACTGCACGATAAAATAACCGGAGCTTTGAAAATATCACGACAGATAGGACAAATATAATCATACTCAGCTGGAGAAGCCATTTTCACTGTTTAACAGCTGCTTCCTGCTTTCAGTTTCTGTATCGGGTTACCTGGGCTTTCCCTAAAAGCACAGGGTCACTCATGCCTGTTTACAGTAAAACTGCACTTATAATTTCTCAAAAACGTTTCTTTAAAGTAACTTAATTCATTCATTTACCATGAGGATTATTTTTTTATTGCACATCAAGACATGGTAGTCAGTTTGAAGATAAAGGAGCTTATTGAAATCTCTTTCTGAAATCTTTGTTTATAGTTTAGTTTCTGTTTATAAACATCATTGTTTATGTCGTCATATAACTTTTAAGTCTGACGCCAACGTCAGGATTTCTTAAAGGCAAAGTTCACCAAAAAAGGAAACCGACTCACCTTTTGCTCACACTGAAGTGGTTGTAAACTTTGAGTTTTGTTCTTGTTGAACAGAAAATAAGATATTCTGAAAATTGTAAGAAAACAAACAGCCATTGACATTCATAGTAGAAACAAAAAATACTATATGGAAGTCAATGGCTGCTTTTCAGCATTCTTCAAATTGTGTTTAACAAATAAAAAACTCAAGATGTTTCTGGGTGAACAATCCTTTTAAGGTTAATTCTAAACAAAAAAAAGTTTAACTGCACTCAGACAAGTTCAGTCTTGTAGAGCCACAGTATTGCAAGATTTTTGACCCAATCTTGATAAAAAAAACTTACCTGCCTGTAGATTTATAGCAGTCTTTAGACATTGATTAACTCGCTGTTTGATTTCATGCGATTATGGTTGAAGTGAAACTGTCCATATAGTGTGTGTGAGTGTAATGTAGTCTACAATATATACTGGATGGTTTTCCTGAGGTGTATTTCACATTAGGTGACAGTTTACGTGGATGTTTCATTGTAAAACTGTAATTCAGCAATTTTATGAGACGCAGTACAATTTTTAGGATGTTGTACTGTTTTTTTCAACATACCTTCACGTGTCCATTCTTATTTTTACCTTGCTATGACAATATTCAACCATTTTCGCATTTGACGATCTCCTCCGTGTAGTCTCTCACTGACGTTGGATGACGCAGGTCCCGCCTACACCTCCTCAGGTTGATCGATCTAGAAACGTGATTGGAAGTTCATTTTGTTTTTCGAAAAAAAACTAGAAGTCATTTTAAATGATAAAAAAATAAAGCAATTGCAGTTTTATAAATTGTAATGGTACACATTAAAATTCGAACTTAACAACATTGGCAAATTAATCATGATAAATACTGCTTTATGGAGTAACTTAGTGAGGCTGAAATCTCACTCTTCAAAAATATTTTCGCATTTATAGCCATCAAACAGACGACAAAACCATTACAGTACATATTAGATTGCAATGAAACAAACCTAATAACTATAACGTTAGCCATAAATAGGCTAACAGTTACTAAGTTAGCTTACTTCATACTCCTGTTCAGCGTGCAAACGACCTTGCAAAGAAATACTACAGTTCAAATTAAGAAAATATTTAAAAAAATAAATAAATAAAAATCGTGTATTTTGTCCTGGTCAGTGTTAAACTAATGAGGGAACTATAACTTTATTATCCGACTCTGAGTAAAGTTAACGTTAGCCTAACTTACTTTACCATCCACAGGTCATATTGTTCGAGTGTAAATCAACGACATTTACTTAACTAAACGTGGTTAAAAGGTTTAAAAACACAACGCTGTACTAGTGTAAAGTTGTATTTAACACACCACTGTCCAAAACCCCGAATATATTCGAGATTTACAGCGTAAAAGTTTGTGGCTTACCTCGTCCCTGGCGTCCCCTGGAAAATGACGACCGTTACAGGCGAAATGATGCGCATGCGCGGTAGAACAAATGCGTGTACGCGCCCCATTCAAAATCCTTTATTCACATAAATAAAATCTCTCAGAAAAGGCATTTGTTGATATTTGTGTAAACACTTTTGACATAATTATCCTTTATTACAACTCTAAATCTTGCGTTCAGTACATTCTTAATCGTTTTATTATAATGGGTAATTTTTTTTTACTAGTGAAAATTTAGGGGGAAAAATCCAATTCTGGCTATTTTATTTTTTATTACTATAAGTCATATATTTTGTCTTCAATGGGCATAAAAATAAAAATAATCTTAAAAAAAATAAAAAATGGCTTTTTATGTATAACCTTATATAATTTCCCCTCTGGTCTCTTTATTTCTAACTATTTTTATATTTATAGGTTTGCTTTTTTTTTTCTTTCTTTATTAAAATTTATTTTGCAGATTGTAACAACATCGTAATTTTTTTCTAATGTTCCAAGTTTCTGCAATCCATTGTAAACTGTTTTTTTAAGCAGTTAAAATCTTTAAAATCTCCTTTAGTAGATGTAAACTTTAATTTTACTGGCATGTTATGAAATCTCCACGTACTGTAATCTTTCACATGGTGACTGACAACATTAATTTACTAATAAATGAATCAGAAGGCATTTATTAATGTACTAGCGTATAAGAAACATTGAGTAAACAACATCACAGACTGTAATCTTCACATGGTGACAACATAAACTCACTAATTACATTAATCTGAAGGCATTTATTAACGTACTAGCATCTAAGAAAGATCATGTAAACAGCCTATGACATGAACAGTGAGTGTTGTAAACAATGGGAGAATGCAACAGTGAAACTACAATGCATTAATATGTAAATACACATTTATTTATTTATTTAAAAGATTAAGACAACATTAAGTGACTGTAACAATGAATGACTAACTAATTTGTGCACATGAAAAATAAACATAAATCCAAAGATCAGATTCCCTTGATTTACTGCATCAATAACCTGAAATACTGAGCTCAGAATGGGGAAGAGTTACATTTGGATTATAGAATGAGTTTAGCCTATTCAGATATCTGTTGTTTAAAAACACAAATGAAAGTATAATTTATTATAACAAAGAACATTTCATAAAAACACTGATTAACTCATAATGTGATTGATATATCTGCAGGCTCCACTTAGTGTATGAGCAAAAAATTGCAGTAATAATACTTGTAAAGTAACAACTTACAAAAATAATGTCTGTCCGTTCTTCATACTGAAGTATGACAAATTCTGCATGCAAATGAACAGCTGAAAGATAAAATCTCCTGTCTGCAGTCTAACACATCTGCATTTATTTGGTGTATAAACCAAATGAACATAAAGAGAAACAGCTCAGGAGATTCAGGTTCACTCCAGACAGAGTCAAACTAATAAACTCAACTCACCTACTTTTCATAATGAATTAATTAATTCTCTATTTAAACATCACGGAGTAAAACATTCTGACTTTGGAAACAGGTATTCTGGGTCACGTCTGGATGACCTACACCAGAATACATCTTTGTGCTTTATTAAAACACGTGAACACCTGCAGTAACTCTCACCTGAACACACCCTCAAAAACACAGATATTAACATGTGTGTGTTTCATCCTGAAGGAGGAAGTTGTAGTTCCCAAAGTCGTTGTCGGTTGGAGAGATCAGCATGTCGGCTCTGGCTTTGTTCAACCTTCTGCGGAGAAAATCCCTTCGTTCACACCATTCCTGAAGCTCCTCCTCGCTGTGAGCAAAATCACAACTCACACCTTCAGGACAACCATCATCCAGCCTGTCAATCAAACATCACAGCCAATCAGTTTTTTAACTGAAAACAAGCATCTGTTTAAAACATCAATTATGTACCATACAGTACGCTAAAAACAAAGAATTCGAAAAGCAGTACGCGAGAAATTTCCAGATGACCTACATCCGGCAAGATTCTGAAGTGCGCATGGATGTACAATATACTCATATAAGAGTCAAACATACACAGGATAATATTCAAAGTCAAACATACACAACTTCATATGAAGTACAAAAAACAGAAGCCCCTTTCACACAGTGATACCAGAATAATATCCAGAAAATTTCTGAAACGGCTTTACCGGCATTTTAAAAAAGCGCTGTTCACACAGGCGAGGACGTTACAGAGTTTTTCTGAAAAGACCGTTCACAAATCCATTCCACAATGCTGATAAATTCTGACATCATTAACCAGAAATGAGCTCTAAACGGCTGGGCTTGTATTTGTAAACATTTGACTACATTACAAACTCTGTGGATGGATCAGTATTGTGAACAACTTTGATGAAAACATATAGAGAAACACTTCACATGTGGAGATGATATGTGTGTGTGCTGGCACTCGCCACGCATCAAGCAACAGAAGGAAGCAGAGCTTGAAGGTAAACATACAACGGCTTATTATAAGCATCTTATTGATAATTATTTACAAAGTTGGCAGCAAGAAGGAAAATATAAACGTTATCTGATTAACATCTAGCAGCTAAACGTGTCTGAAAATATCTAAAGGCTTTTATCTTCATAAACTGGGCAGATGTGAATGCGTCTGATTGTTCTGATTGGCTAAAGTAGACGTCTCATGTCAGCGAGTTCTAGACGTGCACGCGCTCTTTCCGACAATCTTCCTTCTGCGTTCACACAGTTTTATTTTCTTAATGACATGCACTGATAAATTGTTCATCAAAAAACTAGCAATATGAGCTAACATAATCAGTATGGTTAGTTTTGATTTGTTGTGTACTTTAAGTCTCCTGTAGATCTACCTGGGACAGATGGAGAAACAGCGTCCGGGGAAGCGATGTGTCCAGGCCAGACTCTCGTCCTCTCCCTCTCCGCTGAACACTCTCTGCTTGTGTTTCTCTGAGGAGATGTGCCGCTGCCACTGCCGCTCACTGTTACTGTGTTTACCACACAGAGGACAGTAGAAACCCTCCATCTGAGAGCACACACACATTCAACATTACAACGACAAACACACATTGGTAACACTTTAAAATAATGGTCCATTGGTTAATTTATGTACTAATACATTTATTACTGTATTTATTCATCTTTGTTAAAACTAGTTCATATTAGTCAAGTAAAATATTTTAGTTAATGTTAACTAATGTAACAGTAACTCATGTTAACAAACAACTTCAGATTTGCATAATACATTAGTTGTATATCAATATTAATATTGGAAATGTATATAACATCAATGCAAGTTGAACTATAATTATTGAATGCTTTACGAGATTCTTCATACTCATAACTCATTACACCAAACACAGATTAGTAACATAAAAATAAACCTGCGAGGACGTACCATGGATTCAGCAAAGTCCGTCGGCATGGTGATCTGCTTCTCTTCTATTGGCTGAGGCGGTGAAGTGTTGTCAGATGCTCTTCCCTGATTGGACGTTGACAGCCAGACTTCAAACAATTCTTGGACGTCACTGACTGCAGCAGAGATCATGTGACATCCATTAAACCAATCATTCATTTAGACCAGCTCATCTTTAGCATTAGAGATTTTAAAACATTAAGGTGACAAAGTGTGAGAATGTGAAAGTGAATGGATGTTTCCCAGTACTGGGTTGCAGCTGGAAGGGCATCCACTGCGCAAATAATATGTTGGAATAGTTGGCAGTTTATTCTGCCATGGCAACCCCTGATGAATAAGGGACTAAGCCAAAGAAAAATTAATGAATAAATCTGAAAAACAACCAGCTCTTGAGAAATTATCAGCAGTGTTAGGTAAGTTACTTTAAAAAAGTAATGAATTATTAATTATATCACTAAAAACTGTACTTAAGTTATTTAATTACCGTATTTATTTACTATTGCTGCGTCCGAAACCGCAAACTTCCATACTATATAGTAGGCTAAAATCAGTATGCGAGCCAAGTAGTATGTCCGAATTCATAGAATTCGAAAAACAGTATGCGAGAAGTACCCGGATGACTTACTACTTCCGGCGAGATTCTAGAGTGCGCATCCCATGCATGCTGCGCTATCCCATGATGCCCCATGAGCTAATTCATGAATGGGAGTAAAGCGACGCAATTGACGCAGGTAGGTCACGTGACCATGACAAAATGGCGGCTGTAGTACGTCCGAATTCCATTCATACTTTTCACATTCATACTGTATAGAACGTACTTTTTTAACGGCCGAGTAGTACATTTAAAATCAAATGCAGTACCTACTGAGTAGTAGGCGGTTTCGGACGCAACCTATGTCATCTAGTCTATGAAGATTTTAATACTTAATTCAATATTACCAAAATCCCTAAAAATCTCAATGCACTGACAGTATAGAAATTAAAAATTAAACTCTTAATCCTTTAGATCCAAGTGAAATAGTTAAACACGATTAATTAATTTATTAAATATAAATAATCCATAAATAAATACTTTGAATAATTTTAATAACAAATGTATTACTGTTGAATTACGCAGTGGCGCAGTGGTTATAGTGCTGTCTCCTCACAGCAAGAAGGTTGCTGGTTCGAGCCTTGGCTGGGTCAGTTGGTGTTTCTGTGTGGAGTTTGCATGTTCTCCCTGCGTTCGAATGGGTTTCCTCCGGGTGCTCCGGTTACCCCCACAGTCCACAGACATGCAGTACAGGTGAATTGAGTAGGCTAAAATTGTCCGTAGTGTACGAGTGTGTATAGTTGTTTCTGTTGTAAACTTAGTTGTGTCAAAAGTACAGCATGCAATTTGTAACTGTAAACATTATGTGTGTTTGCTTTATTTATTTAATTGAACATATCAAATCATTTAAACATTTGCACATTATTCAATTAATTTAAAAACTGAATGAATAGAGTTGAATTATTAGCCCCCTTCAAGATTTTCCCTAAATTCTGTTCTGAGAGCAGATTTTTTTTCAACACATTTCTAAACATAATAGTTTAATATCTCATCTCTAATAACTGATTCATTTTATCTTTGTCATGATGACAGTAAATAATATTAGACTAGATATTCTTCAAGACGCTAGTATTAAGCATAAAGTGACATTTAAAGGCTTAACTAGGTTAATTAGGGTAAAGTTAGGGTAATTATGCAAGTCATTGTATAACAGTGGTTTGTTCTGGAGACAATCAGAAAGAAATATTGCTTAAGGGAGCTAATAATATTGATAAACAAAATTAAAAACTGCTTTTATTCTAGCCAAAATAAACAAAATAATACTTTCTAAAGAAGAAAAAATATTATAGTAAATACTGTGAAAAATTCCTTGCTCTGTTAAACATCATTTGGGAAACATAAAGAAAACACAGGAGGATGAACATTTTTGACTGCAACTGTATTTTTACACACATGTACATAAGTTAATAAACAGATAAATTGGCTCAAAATCTTCAGAAATCTTCAGAGATTTCTGTGGCTGTAGATTCTGTGTGGTGAACAGATGCACTGAAAACCCCTGTAAGCTCAAAATGAAAGTGAAACCTCAGAACTTGACAAGCATTGGTGTTGTGTCTGTTTTGACACTCACGGCTGTTGTTCTTCATGTACGTCCACAGATCCTTCTCCTCCTGACTGTGAGCGAAACTGCAGTTCCCCATGTAGTGGCACTTACGCTGCTTCAGCACATGTGCACAGATCTGTGGAGGAAACACACAACTGTAGACAGCAAGAAGAGCTCAGAGATTCAGCATTCAGTGTCATTTTCACATCAGGGCTGTTTGTTTGATAGTGAATGTGCTTAAGTTTTTAACAATATAAATACTGCAGTCACCATCGAAAGTAGATTAAAACCTTGTAAATTTGTCCAGAAATTCAAAATGTGGATTAAACAATACCAATATTTTTATAGTAGCATACAATATTAAGATTTATATTTTTTAATTGTTGGTGTATGAGTTATTGCTTTTTTAATCATATAATAAACAACTAATAACTAGATGTGTCTTGGATTTTAAATAACCATCAAAGGGGTCAATTTCGATGTTATTTTCCACAAAATCTTCTGATCGTCATTTAAATGAAAGACCAATTAATCAGTTAGCCGTTAACCTTAATAAGGTGAGATGTGTCTGCTTTATAGGACAGGATGTGCGAATTACACTCAAAACAAAAACATTTCCTGTATGAGAATGAAATGAAAATACACTGTTTTCACACACGTCGTATTGTTGAGGATATGTCTTGGCAAAGGGCAAAGGTCGCACAGAGACCCACTTCTTCCTCTCGTGAGACTTGACCAGTAAAACCCTCCTCTCTTTGGTCCAGCTGAAGAGAGAAAGGTGGAGAGAGTGAGAGGGGTCGAGAGTGTTCACACATTGTGTGTGTGTGTGTTCACTGAGCTGAATAGTAACAAATTATATAATATTTAATCTCAGTTATGTAATGAGATTACAAAAATAAAGTACTTGTAATTACAGTAAAATACTTTCTAAAATACTCATAATCAGATTACTATTTTTATTTTTTGATGGATATTATTTTTGTTATTTTTTGATGGATTACATGATTATATTATCTGACTCATCTACATTTGGCTCTTAATACGGGCCGTATCCAAGATTATGTGAACCTCTGGATATGCAGAAACAAGCAGACTAATTTAGCTAATGGCAGTAAGTTGTACACAGTTTTTCTCCTATATAACATTTAGATTTTTCAATAATAAACCTATTGCTTATATACATTTATGATTCTTCACATTTGCAATGATCATTGGATCATCTGCACTTCATGTTTTTAAGATGAAGTTTTTAATGCAGCAGTGGAATAGCTTTTTTCAAATATTGTTTTATTACATTTAGAATTTTCCTAAATGCAATTAAATTGAATTAAGTGTTTTTATCTCATGAGAAACTCATGATTGATTCAGTGTTACCCTCAGTAACAGCAACAGTGAGGCATACTAGTGTGAGCATTGTGAAGAATTAACTGTCCATCATTGCACTTTAAACATAAGCTGCTCAGGCTTTTATTGCTAATAAACAATAAAGATATTCTTTCTTTGTCTTTCAAAATAGCACAAGATTATTCAGCTTCAATATGTGTGACGTCAAGACCTAGCACAAAAGTACTATAAATGTAATCCAAAAGTACTGAGTTTACATTACTATTAATGTTTACCATACAGTATATATGGGGCATCAAATAAAGGTTAATCCAAAAGTAATCTAAATGTAATCCAAAAGTACTGAGTTTACATTACTATAAATGTTTACCATACAGTATATATGGGGCATCAAATAAGGGTTAATCCAAAAGTAATCTAAATGTAATCCAAAATTACTCCGATTACAATACATTAATTGACTGCCAAACATATGGGTCATCAAGTAAGTTGAGCAATGTAAATGTAATCCAAAAGTACGCAGATTACTTTACTATAAATGTCTACCATACATTACCACACTACATATGAGGCATCAAATAAGGTTTAGTGCACAAGTAATCTAAATGTAATCCGAAAGTACTTAGATTGCATTACAATAAATGTCTATCATACATCACCATAACATACATGACGCATAAAAGAAAGGTTAGTGCAAAAGAAATCTAAATGTAATCCAAAAGAAGACCTAAAACTTCAACATGTGACAAAAGAAGACTTAATACTTCAACAAGTAGTCAGATTACATTACTGTAAATGTTTACTACACATTGCCATACCACACATACTCTATTGAGTATCAAATGAATGTTAAAATAGTACAAAAATAATCTGAATGTAATAAAAACTACCTGGATTACATTACAATAAATCTCTGCCATACATTACCATTCCATACATATGAGGCATCAAATAAAGGTTCGCACAAAAGTAATCTAAATGTAATCCAAAAGGATTCCAAAAACTTTAACATAGACATCTACCATATGTAACAATATCGTACATATGGGGCATAAAATAAAGGTTAGCATAAAAGTAATCCAAATGTAATCCAAAAGTACTCATGTATTATCATGAAAATAGTAACTGTAAGATTATAGGCTACACATTCTGTCATATAATTTGTCATTGCTAACAGTAATCCAGTGTGTCAATCCGTACCTGTGTCTGGCTTTAGCTGTACAGTATTTGAGTGCTCGGTCTGGTTCACTGAGCAGTCCATCCTTCCAGCACTGAGCGCACACAAACTTCAACATCAGCTCCAGCCTGTGACGCTTGGCCTCAGCACTTCCAGTTTCCTGTGCAGGCCCTGCCTTTCCATTGGTCTCCTGCACTCTGATTGGACTCATTGATTTGGCAGCAGTGGTGATTTTGTTCGGTGAGTTTGAAGCTACAACCGTAGGCTGACGGAGACATAATATAATGAGTTTAAAGAATACACATGCTTTATGATCATCTGAGTACCAATAACAGAATCAAGCATTAAAACAATATCCTGTAATACTCTTAATGTATACATGAGCATTGTTTTTCTTTATGTGATAAATTAAATTCAGCTTTGCATATTAAAGTCTTTATTTCTGAAAACGTGAGTCTAACTTGGCCCTTTAGCTTTATTTTAAAACTGTAATATTTAAGCATGTTTCTATATTCAACAATCAAAAATAAAGGTTAAATAGAAATACACTGACTATATATCAAAGCATTAAACATTACGAAGCAATATTTCATACAATATAATGTAACTGATTATTTTTTTTATCATTTTTTCTTACACGTTTAATAATTTTGCTACAAGTGACGTTCTTTTAGTTGAAATATATAAATATTCCGCTAAATAAATTCTTATTGCATAATAATCCAATCACTCTGCCTCTCTGAATTGATTCATACAAAACTGCTAAATTTATTTACAGTATTTAAGGCAATTACATTACAAGTAATTGTAATTAAATTACAAAAAAATTTAAAAGTATTCCCTTATTTTACTTTTTCAGTGGATAAGTCATTTATTTACAGTAACTTTGTTAATTTGTAAGTAATTATAATGCCTATAATGTCATAAGCACATGTGCAAAAAGAGCTGTTGTTAATATTTCTTCATTGATGAGTCACATAATAAAAGAAGGTCAGCTTTAAAACAACACCAGGTTGAGTAAATGATGACAAATTATTATGTCTCCTGAACTTTTTTAAAATGTAAGAGTCATATCTGGTTATGGGTGTTTTTGCTTAGTGCACTTTTAAAAATTATTCAGAAATAAAATGCATATTAAATAATCATAATAATAAATAAACTCACTCGCTGTTTGTTCCAGTGTTTTATAGATTCTTGCACTATTTCGTCAAGGCTGATTCCTAAAAACACACACAGATTATTTACAAACACAGATTATTATTACTATTCATTTCTTTTATTATTTGTTCATCCAGTTGACAAAATCTACACTGTATAAATTAGGGCTGCGTGATACTGTAAAAACTGACATGGCAATATTTAGTTTTCTACATTATACTTGGACAATTCATCGAAATACAAGATGAAAATAGGTAGAATATGCAATGTTGTCGAGTATTGCCATAACCTTAATTCTTCTGATAATTCTTCCCTACAGAAAGGCTATTTTTCTATCATATTAAAATTAAAAATTAACAGATATTTCTATGATCTAATTCAATCTACATCAGGCAAAAAAAGTTGCAAACTTTTAGGTTTTAAAATTTAGATTTTAAAACTTTATGAATAAAGTCTAACTTCTGCAGATATTCTGAATCTGATTGGCTATTTTTTATCATCCTTGTCTCGACTACCACCTTTAGCATTTATTTTCAGTTCTAAGTTTACCAGTGGGGTGCTCCAACCAATAGCAGAACAGAAACTACTAAACCAAAGATAGTAAAAGCCCCAACTAATTGGTCAAATTTGGAATACAACCTACAGATGAAGCAAACAAATGCAGGATTTATTGCTCCTATCTGTGATAAGATTATTGTATAAACTATTATCATCATAACAATGATTTTAATATAACGTGAAGCTCCACTATAGAAATATTAAAGGTGCATTATGTAAGATTGACATCCAGTGGTTGAACTAAGCATTGCAGTAGAGGTCTGCATTCCCATGACTGTAAGGCATGACCAGAGCAGATATCTTGAGACACAGGAACCAATTTCTGAATAGAACACAGTAGCGGTCGGTAACTCTGGTGTAATTTGAACGGGAGGCAAGTCTGATGTGTGGGAGTCTTTTTCATGCATAGATGCAAATGGAAGAAAATTACCCTTTGCACGGTGTGATAATACCTCAAAGTTTTACCCTTGAGCAGTCACAAGGCTGGAACCTCAGGTTTAAGGTGGCACTCATGTCTCAACACAAAGGGGCAAACAAAACTGACATGTAGCCTACAATCAATGCATCACCTACAGTTTTATCTGTTATCTCTCTCTTTTGGTAGAACCCAATTTAAACCTGAGATTTTGGAAAATTTTATTGGCAACGGTTGGGTAGAAAACTGGACAGGTCAGGCTGCGGGTGAACAAAGAATATACGACGGGAGTGGTCGGGTGCGGAATAAAACCTTTTGGCAGCAGATCTCTATCTTGCAGTCCAAAATCAAAACACTTTTTAACATGGGTGATGCTCCAATGACTCCATGCTGGTTGCCAGATTGACAACACCAAAAGGAGAGAGCTATCCGGACTACTGAATCTAGCCCATAACTAAAAGCCATGACATGTGACAAAAAAGGAATATTTTCCATGTTAAAGGAGATTTTGTCCTAACCATCACCTGACGTTTCTATTTTAGAAAGTGTTTCTATTTTTTGCAGGTGAACAACAGCATAAACTACTATGACAGAGATCACCTCAGGTCCTGATTATGTGCTTTATTCAGTGTTAAATGCTCCCAATGTGAGGTTAAATGACATTTACATGACATTTATTGCCGTACTGAAAGCAGCAGACAGATCATGCAAATAAACACTTTGAAAATAAATGTTAGAAACCAACAAATATCATTCACTCAGCCTACGTACTAAGTTTCGCTGAAGTTTTTGACTCTGTAATATGTGTGCAGATATTTCAGAAAAATTCTAAGAGAACATACTTTTGTATCTGAAAAACAATGCTGAAGTCAGATATTCTGTTTTGACAATGTGTATTAAGAGCCAGAATGTCGTCTTTGTTTTGGTTATTTAACCCGCCCACTGCCAGTTTAGCCAATTATATTTCAGCAGCCCGGGTTGCCTTGGTTGAAAACATCCTATTTCATTCATTCAATCAGTCATTCAGAAAGACTATGAAAGTGAGTGTCTGTGACAAAAATGCGACCTCCAGTGTACAGTAGCAGACTCCGAAATGAGACGCAGATTCAAAGCTCAATATGAGGTTATTAATTGGCTAATTATATAAATATGACGTGCCTAAACCTTAGGTGAGCAGATTACATTGTAACCCTGTGTCCTAACAACATGCTTCGTGACAAGATTTACAATGATAAGCAGTTCAGCTGTTTGCACCAGACGAAACACGATAAATACAGCCATTCAGAAGCACAGAACTCATAAAATGGTAAGGTTTATAATCTAATTAATGCATATTAACCCTCTTTATCTATTAAATGTAGATGCTGAATCACTGATATGTGTTGGTTTGCACTGAGTCACAGTTCTGAAGTTCAATTTCAGGCAGTTTATTTTATTTTCCAGAACTGAAGATCTGCTGCTGCTTTCAGTAGTATGGCAATAAATGTCATGTAAAATAGTATTCAAACTACCATTATTAGCATTGAACACTGAATAAAGCAAAAGAGGTGCACATGAGGTGATCATTGTCAGTTTTCTTTTGTTCAGCTGTGAGAAATAGAAACCAATTATATCAATTTCAGCTGTTGGTTAGGACAAAAACTCACTGCATATCATACCGTGCATGACTGTATGTAACAAACAAAATGTTTATTATAAAGCATGTGTTTGTAATGTTTGCTCACCGGTGTCTCTCTGCAGGATCCAGATCTGCAGCTCCATCAGCGAGTGTGCGAAGCTGCAGCCGTTCTCCTTCCTGCAGCCCAAACTGAGCTCCTGACGACACACGTCAAACACACAGCGAGAGTTCAGCGTGCGGATCTTACTGTAGCTCACAGAGCTGCCCTTCAACGCATGAACCAAACACCTGACACACACACAGACACACACAAACATAAAATTAGTGCTTAATGTACAGTTGAAGTAAGAATTATTCGCCCCCCCTTTGATTTTTATTTCTTTTTCAAATATTTCCCAAATGATGTTTAACAGATTCAGGAAATGTTCACAGTATGTCTGATAATATTTTTTCTTCTGGAGAAAGTCTTATTTGTTTTATTTCTTCTAGAATAACAAAAGTTTTTAGTTAAAAAAAATATTAGTTTTGGATTGTCCCCAGAACAAACCACTGTTATACAATAACTTGCCTAATTACCCTAACTTTACCCTAATTACCCTAGTTAAGCCTTTAAATGTCACTTTAAGCTGAATACTAGTGTCTTGAAGAATATCTAGTCTGATATTATTTACTGTCATCATGACAAAGATAAAATAAATCAGGAATTAAAAATGATATTAAAACTATTCTCAATAGTTCAACTGTATGTCCTGTGGTGTTTTTCCTACATACTTCTTCTTGTCAAACTGATGCTGTGGTTTTAGGTTCGCACACAAAGAAGGATTCTCCTTCCAGCGTTTGCTGATTATTCTGGGTTTACAGTCAAAGCAGGCCTGTGAGAAAGACAAAACAACACATCCAGTGCTTAATTTGTAACTTGCGATGTCCCGAAACAGACTGGGGTGACGGATCCGGCATGTTACCAGAGGAGAGAGAGAGGTGTCGTGGATGAAAGTGAAGGGGGGGTGGGGGGACTAGAGGTGATGGGAGTGTCGCAGATGAAAGTGAAAAAAGGGTGGGGGTGCGTGTGAAAAGGGGGATTGGTAAATCTGGATCCAGCACAAATTAAGCCCTGAACATATCTCACCATTAGAGCAGACACTTAAATAAAACTTAATTAAGACACTTAAGACTTAAATAAGACACTTAATTAAATTTAAATAATTAAATCTTTACTTAAACGAAATACTAAACTGTAAAATAGTGGTTGATGAGTATGATGAACTTCATTCAACTGTTTTATGCAAAGAATATTTTAAACTATTCAAATTATGACAATTAAATACACTTTAATAAAGCTTGATGTTAATCAAGTATGATTAATGTCATGATGAAGATATTTTTAATCTCATGAGAATTATAAATTATGTCAGAGTGATAACAGTGACCAAAAATTAACAAGACAGAAATGATATGGCTGTTTAAAATTAAACACTTTTCATCCACCTTGGACATTTAAAGATTCAGACAAAAAAAAATTAATAAAAAAAAGCTTATGGTGTAGATCAGAGGTGGGCAAACTCAGTCCTGGAGGGCCGGTGTCCAGCACAGTTTTGCTCCAACACTAATCAAACACACCTGAACATGGTAATCAGTGTTTTCAAGATCACTAGAATCTATAAGCAGGTGTGTTTGATTAGAGTTGGAGCTAAACTGTGCAGAACACCGGCCCTCCAGGACTGAGTTTGCCCACCCCTGGTGTAGATGGTAATATGGTTTTCATTATGATCACCCTTCTCAGTATAAACAGACATTAAGTGTATAAATAATTTTAGGCTTGACGTGTGTGTTTGTGTGGGTTTGTGGGAATAAAACATGTTATAATATAATATATGAAACAAAAAATCGAGTCAGCTTGGATTATTACTAAGATCAAACAACCATCAGAACTTGGATAAATATATTTCAGCAACGCTCTATTATAAGACTTAAGTTTTGTAATTAATCCATCATAGAGCTCTGAAACAATGAGCGATGTCATGATGTGTGTGTTATTACCTCACAGAGGAACATGAACATGCCCGTGTGCATCTTCAGCAGCTCCACCACACTGAGCGCTCGTTTCTGATTGGTCGGCAGGGGATTGAAGAGCAGCTCTCGGATCAGCAAGCCCCGCCTTTCCTGCGTCCACACCTCGATCTCCTCTGGACAATAGGCAAATGTGCAATCCTCGCCGTACTTACACGTCCGAGTCTCCAACACCTCTACACACACAGGCACGGAAACACACAGGTCTGATGAAGCTCACGGGACCGAAACATCATAAATAATCAAATATTTATACAGCAAGCATTGATAAAAGCTAGGGCTGTGCGATTTGGGCAAAAAACCCAATTGTGATTTTTTTGACATATTGCGTTTGCGATTTGATTTACGATTAAATTTGAGCTTCAAGCTGATTTTAATTAAAGATTAAAAATTTTAGTTATAAGCTTCAGCTCAATAATCTCTAAGCAGTGGCAACAGTTCTCCTACAGATCTTACCTGTTTTTGTTTGGTGTCTGTGACTTTGAAACCAAAATATTCCCATATTGCTGACGTGCTGTTTTTCTTTGAAATTAATTAGTCTATTAATGCTTCTGAAGCAACAGACGCCATATTCCCACTTGACAGTGCTTTCCTGTTTGTTTTCTTTCTTTATCGTGGGTGTAGTTGTGCAAATCTAACTGGGCAGAGAGAAAGTGTGCTCACTCAATTGGCTAGTTATAAACATAGACTGTAAAATATATGGACGTAGTATCCGTGACATCACCCATAGGTTTCTAAAGAGACCAGGAGGAAAACGCGAATTACTTCTAAACACTTCAGATATAGTCTGTGTTAGTTAATGTAAGACTATTGATGAAATCCAGCATAACACTGTATGACAACACTTGTAAGGTAAATGTAATGTGTATTTATATAGCGCATTTATTGTGTATGGCCATACACCCAAAGCGCTTCACAATCATGAGGGGGGGGGGGTCTCTCCACACCACCACCAGTGTGCAGCATCCACTTGGATGATGCGACGGCTGCCACAGGACAACGGCGCCAGTGCGCTCACCACACACCAGCTATTGGTGGAGTGGAGGGACAGTGATAGAGCCAATTCGGTGGAGAGGGGATGATTGGGAGGCCATGATCGTAAGGGCCGATAGAGGGACTTTGGCCAGGACACCGGGGTTACACCCCTGCTCTTTCACGAGAAGTGCCTTGGGATTTTTAATGACCACAGAGAGTCAGGACCTCGGTTTAACGTCTCATCCGAAAGACGGCGCCCACTGACAGTGTATTGTCCCCTTCACTTTTACTGGGGCATTAGGACTCACACAGACCACAGGTTGAGCGCCCCCTGCTGGCCTCACTTACACCACTTCCAACAGCAACCTAGTGTTCCCTAGTAGTCTCCCATCCAGGTACTGACCAGGCTCAGCCCTGCTTAGCTTCAGTGAGTAACCGGTCTTGGGCTGCAGGGTGACATGGCTGTGGCACTTCAGATGACTGTTCTAGAGCCTAAAGCTAATCAATCTGCCAGATTCTGGAGTGCATTACAGCTCTAAATATAAATATAAACGATAAATGATCTTAAATAAAACAAATACATGTATAGAGATGGTATATAAGTATATAACTTTACTCACATGGGTTTGTGAGCACAATTAAGTGCACTCAGCATGCCATGCCATCTGATAATTGTAGGAAACAAGTCCAAAAGGCAGTTGACTGTGTAAAGCCACATAAAACAACACAGAAATACGATAAATATGCCGAGTTCAGTGGCTAATCTGCAGGATTCAGCTGAGGTGACGTGACGGCAACCAACGAGACCTAGGTGTAAATCAAGTGGCCACGCCCTTAATTATGCAAACTTAATATAACTTAATATAAAGGAAACGGATGAGTTATAAAAAAATTCACCCCCCTCATAGTTGTCATGAAGGGTAATATTAGCTGTATTAACCAAAATCTTTTTTTGTACAGGCTGTAAACACATTTTTTTCTACTGTAAAGTTGGCCATTCTAACAGTGGGCTCAATTGAAATTTGCTCTGTTTTGGAGCCAGGAGCGGCTAAGACTAGCGGAATTTCGGTTGAATCGCAGTTTTAGTTACTTCCGTATTGGCTTCCTGAGAGAGAGCGGGAGGTTGCCGCTTGGTTATAAAGCCCCGTTCAGATCACATGACTTCGGCACAATTTCCTTGATGCAGGGTGTCGTGGGGACTTATAAACGACAAATGGATGTTGTCACACAAGATTCAATCATTTCTTCTCGTATAATGGCATAGTTCTCGACAACTTATACCATGTCTGGGATGCCTCATGACACCATCTCAGAAAGTCTAGCATGTTTAATTTTCTAAAGTGGACTATTGGAATGATTTTGAAGCACTGCACCAAAGATGTTATTCGTTTTTTTGTTAACATATATACACACACATATATATATATATATATATATATATATATATATATATATATATATATATATATATATATTATTGCAGCCTTTTGCGATTATCTAATCGCAACATTTCAAATTGCGATTGCGATTCAATTTTGATTAATTGCACAGCCCTAATAATAGTGCAGGATTGTTTGTTTCCCCTTTGCACATTTTTAGATGGTGAATTTCCCCATACAGGTATCGTTGCTTCAGGTGTGCTTTTTAACACCCGAGTTTACTTGACTGTCATTTCTTATTCAAACAGAAATGAAAGTTTTTGAGGAAAAGATGCTGAGTTTTTTTATCATTTTTTTTAATATATAGTCAACACACTTCCCTTAAAAAACATTTCTTTTCAACTAAACAAACACTGAGGTGTTCAGAGGTGTAGAATTATCCTGAAATGTTCATTCTGGAACTGAACTAATGCTTTAAAGCAGTGTTTCTTAACCACATTCCTGGAGGACTACCAGCTCTGTCCATTTTCCATGTCTCCTTAACCAAACACACCTGATTTAGATCAGCAGAACATTAGCAGAGGCTGAAAGACCTGTAATGGGTGTGAGTAAGGAGACATCCAACACATGCAGTGTTGGTGGTGCTGCAGGAGCATGGTTGAGAAACACTGCTTTAACTGACACTGATTGTGTTTTTGGTTTAAGGATCATTGATTGGACAGCAGACGCACCTCTGCAGAGCATGAATGCGCCCTGGAAGTTGTTGCGTGGGCGGGGCCGGATCCGCCTCCAGGGTGAGTTAGCTCCGCCCCTCCGACGGCACAGCAGAAGATCTTTATTACAGCTGTGAGAAACGTCAGACCTGAACTCAAAGTCCAGCACTCCAGGACCTGAAGGAAACACACAGACAGAATGACTGAGACAGAAAACATACAGCAGGATGAGTAGATAAAGTCAAAATAAGATGCACAACAGAATCAATGATTCTCCAAGGTAACTGAAGATAAATTTTGGAATTAAAGACCTTTTTAATAGATTTAGAGACACAACGACAACAACACAGACTTTTCATAGATTGCTTTTTTCTGGTCACGGTTTGGGCACGGTTCAGTATTTGATATGTTTGTTAAAAAAAGCATTGTCAAATAAAAAGAAAAGAAAAAACTCTACAAGCAGAATACAATACAAAATTAATGACGATGAACCTCACTGAGACCCCCCTCCCTCTCAAAACACCCCCCGAAATCCGTATTTAAATGAAAGAAAAGAATCACATCCCTGATAAATGATGATGCACAATGGGGACTTTTTCATGACACACCTAGTGTGTCAAAAAATGTAGTGAACCAAGCTCACCAGCGGTCTTACTAGTGCACTAATTCATGCACACAACCTACTGATGTGCGACCTCAGGAGCTGCAGTACTGATTGATGGACAGCATTTATTTGCGAGTCTTAACTTTCATTCAGCTGTTCAGATGAGGCACTTTCCAGATCTCACTCAGGACAGACAGACAGACAGACAGACAGACAGACAGACAGACAGACAGACAGACAGACAGACAGACAGACAGACAGACAGACAGACAGACAGACAGACAGACAGACAGACAGACAGACAGACAGACAGACAGACAGAGAGAGAGAGAGAGAGAGAGAGAGAGATAGATAGATAGATAGATAGATAGATAGATAGATAGATAGATAGATAGATAGATAGATAGATAGATAGATAGATAGATAGATAGATAGATAGATAGATAGATAGATAGATAGATAGATAGATAGATAGATAGATAGATAGATAGATAGATAGATAGATAGATAGATAGACAGACAGACAGACATAGATTGACAGATGGACAGATATACAGACAGAGAGGCAAACAGACATACAGACAGACAGAGTCACCTGTGGAAGTGAAGCAGGCGCTGCAGGCTTGACTGAACTCATGTGTTGGTTCCAGTGGATTCTTTGAAAGACTAGAAAGAGTCGAAGTCACGTGACCATTTCTCTGCAACACACACACACACACACACACGGTCTCATTTTCTAAACAAATACAACAATGCATTCATATGATCAGACAGTGAGAGAGAAGAAACTCACCGTTTGTGGAGAGTGAGTCAGCTTGACTGACGGCAGAAAACTACGACACGCTTTCACATCTGACAGAGAAATAATGAAGATTAAACATCAGCACACCTTCACTTATAGCAAAGACTACAGAATACACAACATATGTTAATTGTCTTCCATTGAATGGGGAAAAGTGTAATGGTCAATATGGTGAATGAAGCCCCGCCTTCTAGTACAGGAGCCAATGAGTGATTGCTATATTGAGAGGATTCTCCAGGGAAGGGGCACGGACCAGATATGAGTTTCTGGAGATTTTGTGTGACTCATTTGGAAATGAAACTAAAGAGACAGTTGTGGTTTAATTTCATTGGTGATTCCTAATATGAAAATTAACCGTAAGCTTGGCCAGCAATATTGGAGAATTTGGTGTTTCCCAATTCAAACAGAATGCCTGAGCAGTGTTTCAAAGATCGGGGCCAAGTGAAATGAATTGCCTTAAAGGCAAGAGTCTGCTTATAGGCAGTGAATGAAACTGAGTCTCAGTGAATACACAGACCTGACAGGCTGAAGTGAGAGAGCGAGTCCAGTCCTTCTCCTCCCAGCTGCACAGACCCTGAGCCAGCGGACGGACAGATGGAGTCCAGAGCATCCAAATCAGCACTGCAGGAGTCCGGCTCAGGGGAAATGAAGGAGTCCAGAGCGTTTAACTCACTGCCAGCAGATGAGAAGAACGCAGGAGGAAGACCAGGAGATGAAGAGGAGAAACACGCCAGACCAGCAGGAACAACTCGAGTCTGACAGAGGAGAATTCATGAATGAGTAGCTGCAGAGCACATCACTAATATACAGCCTCATTATTAGTTAAGGCCCCTTCACACCCAGAATAATATCTAAAATACAATACAATACTTATCTTTAAAGCACATTTACACCCAGAATAATATCTAAAATACAATACAATACTTATCTTTAAAGCACATTTAAAAACAACTAAAGTGCTGTACATAGGAGAGCTAAAGACAGAGAATACCGAATATAAAAGAAAACATTTAATAAGTAAAAGCAATAAAACAGTGATCAATGAGCATTAAAAGTGAGAGAAAATAGGTACTGTGTGCCAGGGCTATTCAATTAGTTTGTCACGGGAGCCAGTTCATGAAAAGCATCCCAAATTAGTGATGGGTCATTCATGAACGAATCTTCAAAATGACTCGGGAACTACGAGTCCTCTCAGGGAGTGATTCGTTCATCCGCGCGTGTGCACATTTGTGCAGGTGGTATCATTCATTTCAAGTCTTTTGAGTCATTCACCGTGGAAAGGCAGAAGCCAATCATACGCGTTTAGAGCGGGAAAAAGATTTGATCTGTTCATTTCGAGTCCTCTATCGGGTCATTCGTTCCTCATGGGCCAATCAAATGCGTTTAGAGCCAGAAAAAGAATTGAACCGTTCATCTCTCGAGTCTTCGGGTTTGAGTCATTCTGTCAAGTGATGAACGAATGACTCAAGAACCAGAAGACTCGAAAGGTGAACTAATCATCATGGCTCCTATCGGCTCAGACTGTGTACATTGGTTAAGATTATATGTGACTGTCAGTGTAACCTGAACGAATCACTGACATTTGAAGACATGAAGAGGTGAGCTGAGCAAAGAGACAACAATACCTTCACAGACAAAAAAGCAGGTAAACAATGAATTAATATATTCTCCTTCTTATAATATTCTATGTATAACTTATTTGTTGTGTGATCAACCTTTTGGGCTAGTTGTAGATGTGTTTGGAAGCAATTCGTAACATTTTAATAACATTTTGGCAAATTGAACCAAATAAACGAAATAACTCGAAAAAAGATTCGTACATCTCGATGAATGAGACTCAAAGATCCGAGTCAGTAAAATGATCCGAACTTCCCATCACTATCCCAAATGAGAGGTCGAAGAGATGTGACTTTCTATATGAGTGATGACACATCAGCAATATAAAAGCTCATATGCTGTATTTTTGCTCCTTAAGACACCCACATTGGCTTGTTCTACATTAAAATGTTAATATGTTGTATTTTGAAACTACATAACATCAGTGCATTGTACAATAGGCTTTTTTTATTTTTGTGTATTGCTCAAGTAGGCTTCTTCTACATTCAGACACATTCGTATTATCTGTTTTAAACTGCTTAACAATAAGGGATGCATCGATTATAGATTTTGGTTGTATGATTACAGTCAGAAGAATAATCATGGTGTCACGGTTATCACCATTAATATGCATTTATTAAATTCAAAACACTATTAGGTTAAAAAAATTGACAGGAAAACTGCTTATATTTTACAGTGTTGTTAAACATACAAATACAGCACAAATCATTAATAAAAAACGAATTATTGTGTTGTTAGTTATAGTTAGTGGATGGTCTTCAGTGTGCTCACCTGTGTGTTGTCCTTGTCATTGGTCATGCAGTCCAGCAGCAGGTCCAGCTCATCCCCCATCAGCTCCAAGTCCTCCAGCGGCTGAAGAACACCTCCAGACACACACAGAGGAGCATCATGGGAGTTGTTCACAGACACCGGTGAAACAGGAGACGTCCATTCATCATCTGTCACACAGAGTAAACACAAAACACACAAAAAAAACTTAATTATGTATTCCTAATTGAAGCTGAATGTGTGATTCAGTTTTAAGAGACAGTGCAAGTCTTTAAAGTCATATTTTCAAATGCCCCCAAATACACACACAAGTATTATATTTAGAGATCAATCTGCATAATTACTGCTGTTTTTCAAAATGCTTTTATTATGAAGTTTTTACTTTGGAAAAAGTACTTAAAACTACACTAAGAAAAGCTAGGTTGGGACCTAACAATATCCTACTACTGTGTAATCATCAGTACTTGTCATATTAATGTATTCAATTTAATGTATAAAGTATTCCAGTGCTTCCAGCAGGTTTGAAATATACTTGCGGATTAAAACATACCATGTACCAATAGTTAACTATATGCGACAAACAAAACGTAATTTTATTTTTAACAATCATTTTATTCATTATGACACTGGTTTACAGTTTCTTTCAATGGGTTAAAGTAAAAAAAAAAAAACACTGTTGAAATAAAAAAATAATCCACTATTACTCTTATGCCATTCAGAAGCCATGTGCACCCACTGACAGGTCAAATCTGCTTCCCTTAGTTATCAGTTCATGCCTTCTCTGCAAATCAAGCCCATGGCCTTGGTGGTTCTGATACCATGGTTGCCTTAAGTACAAGACAATCAGCTTGTTCCTCATATGAATATAATATTATGAATGTCATAAATGTGTTTTAAATACCTGCAGAGTCTGAGACTTTCTCCTGATGAGATGCTGGAGACATCTGAAAAACACAAAAGCAGGAAATTTATTAATATACAGTTGAATTCAGAATTATTAGCCCCCCTGTATTATTAGCGCCCGTTTATTTTTTTCCCCAATTTCTGTTTGGAGGGAAGATTGTTTCAGCACATTTCTAAGCATAATAGTTTTAAAAACTTATTTCTAATAGCTGATTTATTTTATCTTTGTCATGATGACAGTAACCAATATTTTACTAGATATTCTTCAAGACACTTTTATACAGCTTAAAGTGACATTTAAAGGCTTAACTAGATTATTAAGGTTAACTAGGCAGGTAAGGGTAATTAGGAAAGTTTTTTGTATAATGATGGTTTGTTCTGTAGACTAACGAAAAAAAAATAGCTTAAAAGGGCTAATAATTTTGTCTCAAAAATGTTTTTAAAAAAATTAATAACTGCTTTTATTCTAGCCGAAATAAAACAAATAAGACTTTCTCCAGAAGAAAAAATATTATCAGACATACTGTGAAAATTTCCTTGCTCTGTTAAACATCATTTGTTAAATATTTAAAAAAGAAAATAAAAATCAGAAGGGGGCTAATAATTCTGACTTCAAATGTATATATTTTTTGTATTATTGTTCTATGTGTGTGTATATATAGACATTATTGATATATAAATTACTTGTATATTAATAATGTCCAACACTCCCAAATTTCAGTCACTAAAAAATTATACATTACAGAGCTGTATGATATTGGAAAAATCTGACATTGCTAAAAAAAATATATATTTATTTTATTTTATTTTTTTAGCATTTTATATTGCGTTATGAACACTTTCACCAGATGTCATGACCAAAGTCATTAATTTAAATTGATTAGGATTATTCTGTAGGGCTCTGTAGAGGTTATTTTCTTTTCTCTCTGCTCAATGGTCATGAAGACAAAGGCTTTCCAAAATTGTCTTTTGAAATGTTATTCTTTGCAAAGGTCACACAATCATACAGCAACGCAGGTTTCTGCAGAGTGAGACACTACAGGAAGAGTGTGTTCTCCTTTAATCTAGTTTCTCCTCTCTAATGCCCACAAGGCCACCAGTGACGTACATCATAAATCACCGTTATCCTCTACACATATTTTAGTTTTACTTGTCTATATTTCAGTCTCACCTCCCACCTGGCCATATAGTTAGTTAATACAGAGATCAGACTGCATGATTTTAGCCACGATTTTGACTCGACAACAGATTTTGAGAAAGACGCGAGCTGAGAGAATCACTGATAAGTCCCCAATACCCATCAGATATTTGGCATGCTAAATATATGGAGCTGTCAGCGATTCAAATCATGCCATGTGAAATGAGTTAACATCCGTGATCACCTACAGCAGGGATGTTCAAACTCAGTCCTGGAGGGCCGGTGCAAAGTTTAGTCCCAACCCCAATCAGAAACACCTAGACTAGCTAATCGAGCTCTTATAGACTTTCTAGAAACATCTTGCAGGTGTGTTGAGGCAAGTTGGAGCTAATATCTGCAGGACACTGGCCCTCCAGGACCAAGTTTTGACACCCCTGACCTACAGCCAATGAGAGAGCAGCATCCACTAGTGTAGGTATCTGCAGGCCAGCGGGAGATGGAGGAGAAGTTAAAAGTGCTTCTTCTTAGTATTTTGGAGCCAAGAAATGGAGGAAAAACTAGTGTAAAATTGGCAGGAGCACCCGTGTCATCAGAGCAATCTCACAACTGGGTCGAAAAAGAAAATTAGTTCAGAAAAAGTTGCTAATTCCCTTCAAAGGCCAGGTAAGCAAAATAAGTACAGTTTCTACCCCACTAAAGGCTTCTTTCTCATTATGTCGTTAATAACAAAAGATATACTACGTGACATTGCTTTGTTGCCATGTCAATAATCACGTGTGTTTGGTTGTGAGAGATGTAGTTTTCGCATCGAGATAAAGTTGTTGGCGATTCTTCCTATTGTAAAGTCATGCAGTGTGAAACCCCGTCACTGACCCATCCTACAGCATAAACAAAGCAGCGACAAAACTCTGCCCCAAATAGTAATGGAGTGTGAAAATACCCGTGACAAGACTACTTTGAAAATCCTGCAGTCTAAACTCGGCATTAGTCACCATACATGGATTAAGATCCTGTCTGATGATAAACAGACGTTAAAGTAGCCATGTAAGGCCTAACTGTAAAATGTAAACAGAAATACAGGAGATAAACAGTTGTTAAAGTAGTCATGCATGATCTAACTAAATAATGTATACAAAGAGAAATGAAGGAAAAACAGACTGCGCAATGCATGTAAATTAATTTCCACCACAAACACTGAGTCATGTAGGGGGCTATATATTATTTAAGGTTTATACAGGTTTAATCAAGTAAAATTTAAGACTACTTAAGACCATTAAGTAAGAAATTTCAGACTTATACAAGGCTAAACACCAAAGATTTTTAAACATTTAAATAACCATTAAAAACAAATGTTATGGTAAGGAAGATAATTAAACCATATTGGTAAACAGAGTTCATATATAAACTTATATTGAGATTAAATGTTAGTGATTGGATGGGTGTTAGTCTGATTGGGTAGCTAAAATTAAACTGAGATTTATATTATTAAGCTTTAAATTTAGACCTTTTTAAAATTATTTTAAGACATACAACACAATATTTTAGTGAATTTAAGAGCTCTATTTTGACGATTCATGCGCAAAAGTGCAAAGCACAGGGCACAAAAGCATTGTTAAGGATGGAAAAATTTGCTTTGCGTCTTGGCAGGGTTGAGCTTATTCTCTTAAATGAGTTATAGGTGTGTTTTGAGAATAAACCAGAGTCTCATCTCCTATTCCCTTTATAATACGTCGTTTATAATAATTTGCTATTTTCATGGCGGATTTTGTAAGTGGAAAAACTGAACGTTTCACTAGTGAGAAACAGTTAAACAGAGCATCTACAGCACGAGAATGGGAGATGAGCCTCCTCATTCTTTACTTTCACTCTCACTGAAAGTGCATAGGGAAACGTGTTGTAGGCACAGATATCAATTAGCCTATACAGAATTATTTCATTTGTTAAGCGCAAATATTTGTTTCAAAACTATTTCTAAATTTAGTTCTAATGTCCAGCAAACGAATAAATGAACAATAATAACGAAGTGTGTTCAAAAACCTGAGTTATATCCTAAAACACATGCTGTGCCCCATATGGTCTAAAACCTGAGAGGTGGACAAATCTAAGCTTATTTTTAATAAAACAAATATAATTATGCAAGTAATAAATAATACTGCTAATAATAATAACATTACACAAAAGCTAATTGTCATGAATAAACTGAACAAGCCCCCGAGATGAAGAAGACATGGAGGCAGTGGTTTTTATATTTATTTAGAAAATAATATTTTTTGTAATATTTTAATCCATTAATTCTTTTTTATATGTAAAGATATGTGCGTATTGCTCTACATCCTGTGTATTAAGCAGTGTGTAAGCGAGGCGCACAACTAATGCGCTCTGTGCTGGACTTCAGACCTCCTCTAAGCTAGTCTATTGAACAGACTATTATAGTTTCTCAAAAAAGCAACGTGCCAGCAATGCGCCTCAACACACCTCCTTTTTTAGACCAGAGCGCCTATGGGCGCACATATGAGCGCAAATGCATTTGCTATTTAAACAGCGTGATCCAAAATGTCAAAATAACTCCTGCGCAGAGCTGTAACTAGCAAACAACAATTGCGTTGCGTCTTGCATAGGGTGTATAGGGCCCTTAATGCTTTTTAAGGCCTAATATTTGGTTTAAAACCCTGATTATTTCATAGAAATATATTCTTATTTAATTTATTTTAAACATATAATGCACAAACTACAGTCATTAAAAAATTACAGAGCAAAGACTAAAGTGAAATAAACAGAGCTTTATGAAATCATATTCAGGTAGATACATTTAATAATTAAAATGTAAAATTGAGAGAGAAAAAGAGAGATTCTGCACTAGAGTAATGGATAAGGGGTGGAAAATTACACAGTGTGCTAGTAACATGTTACTAAAGTGCTTTTGGGAAGAAAAAAAACGACCTGCTGTTGTGTGTACTTGCATATGTGTGTGTGTGTGTGTGTGTGTGTGTGTGGGTGTGTGTGTGTGTGTGTGTGTGTGTGTGTGTGTGTGTGTGTGTGTGTGTTTCCTGCCTGACTAATGGTGAGAAGACAGTTGTCATTGGAAAGGAAAACACAAAGGAGTGGCTGAAGATGAGACAACTATAAATACTAGCTGCTGAGATTGTGTGGGCTGCTGTGGACTGCCCTGGCATAAGACTCTCGTTGTAGAGGGTTTAGTTTTCTCTGTATGCTTTATCCATTTGATTCATTAAATTGATTGGACTTGTTTGAAGCCTGGGTGTCACGATGGTGCAGTGGGCAGCACGATGGGTATACTATGGGCTAGCACGATCGCCTCACAGCAAGAAGGTCGCTGGTTTGACCCTCGGTTAGTTGGCATTTCTGCATGTAGTTTGCATGTTCTCCTTATGTTGGCTTGGGTTTCCTCCGGGTGCTCTGGTTTAACCCAAGTCCAAACACATGCGCTATAGGGGAATTGTCTGTAGTGTATGAACCAGTGTTTCCCAGTGATGGGTTGAGGCTGTAGGGGCATCCGCTGTGTAAAACATTTGCTGGATAAATTGGTGGTTCATTCCGCAGGGGCGACCCCAGAATAATAAGCCAAAAAGAAAATTAATCAATGAGTGTTTGAAGCCTCTGACTGATAATTGAACTTGGGGGACTAAGGGATAGTCCAACAGCCTGAATGCTTTAAAGCAGGGGTGTCAAATACAATTCCTGGAGGGCCGAAGCCCTGCACAGTTTAGTTCCAATCCTGCTCCAACACACTTACCTGTAGGTTTCAAACAAGCCTGAAGGACTCAATTAGTTTGATCAGGTTTGTTTAATTAGGGTTGGAGCTAAACTGTGCAGAGCTGCGGCCCTTTTGGAACTGAGTTTGACACCTGTGCTTTAAACACTATAAAATGCTCTGACATCCACAGGCCTTAAAAACACATACATGTGACAAACTTTCACTATACTGTGGTTAAATTCTGCAGTGACCCCACAAATCTCATGTGTTTTGACCTGGGGTTCCTGGTATATAAAGCTATAATGCTAACTCAACATAGCATATCTTGCGATGTGACTCTTGTGAAAGACACATTGCAATATCGATACTAAACCTATACATTGTGCAGCCCTAATGTATTATTCATTGACATTTTAGTAGCACATTACATTAAAGATGAGAAGAGAAGTATAAGAGGTGGAGTGGGTCATCTGATTATTCATATTAATATTTGCTAAATCCAAACTAAAATTTAAGCTTCAGTTGCTTGTGTTGGTATATCATGGGATCATGCCTAGCACAGTATTTTGCACATATTTAAATTTTTACTTCTTAAATCAAGCAGCAGATTTCCCTCACACTCTATTATTCAGATTTTAAATGACACAAATATGTTTGCCTCTCAGGTAGAAGTTGAGTGAAATTTTCATTGATTGGTTATTAATCTGTTCAATGATTGGTTGAGGGAACACATTTACTATTGCTGCTAAATATTTAATAGACCAAATATTGATGAATTAAAATAAACTCATTATTGTTTATAATCAAGCTCTCGACGGCAGCAGCACATTGGGTGCACGAGCATCACTTTTTATTCATTTGATATACATTTTAAATAAACAAATTTTACATACATACCTGTATACTGTTTTATTATTAATATAGTATTTATGTTGCTATTTGCAATGCTTTGACAATATGTACCCAAATACATCATGTCAATAAAGTGACCTAAATGTGTAAATCTGCTCGACAATAAAATGCATAAGTTTGAAGTTGAAGTTTTAGTTTTATTGTTACAGTCCTGTATTTATTATGATTTTTATTACTACTGATGTTGTTGTTGTTTAGGAGTTATGTTTTCTTGATACGAGTTGGTATTTCTTTTCATTTGAGGCTAACTCCACCTTGCACCTGAGGCTAATTCCATGTTGTCGGCTGAATGTGCATCTGGGTGGCTCAAGTTTCCAGGGCGTTTCTGGCTGATCCTCTTGTTTTTTGCTCTGTTGCGAGCATGACCAATACTTGCTGAGAATCTCTATGCATCTTGCTGTTCTGATGAAGGTTTGAGAATTCTGTGCGCGTCTTGTGCAGCTGCCGCTGAGGAGCCATGCTGGTGTTGTTTGTTTCATTCTTTGTTGATCTATGTTTTGTTATGTTTGTTTGTTTAATTAATTATTTTGATTGAGTTAATATTAAGTTAATTATATATGAGCAATTCCATGCAAATGTAAAACTTGCCATGAAAAAAATAAAGTTTTCGCCAAAATAGCAAAACCGTTTCACTGTTTTTTGTGTAGGCTTTTATTTTCCAGTACTTTATAAATACTCAAAAATGTCTCTGTCAGTGTTTCAAACTATTATATTTGATTTACAAAAATCACACAAGTGCCAATTTCACATCCGTCACATCCATAACGACACTTTTCCCTCATAAATGTGAAAATATTAAATAAAATAAAGCCAACAATTTTTGTTTTATAGTGAGCCAACTCTTATCCTTTTGATTAGCATTGTTTCTTTTGGGTTGTGCAGTTTAATTTACAGAATTTCTACAAAGTATGTTGTCTACTGTAAACGCACAGACTTTTTTTTGTCACATCCATAACGCATGTTTATTTTCCTCATTTAAAATATAAAACATGTTTACAGATAGATTTTTTTCTGCTCTCACAACTCAGTGGTTATTTGTTTTGAAAAATATAAAGGGATGTTTCAATATAATGTTAACACATACTTCCTCTGTCAATTTATGTTTTGAGATTTCACTGCAAATGTCACATGTATAAAGCTGGAATTGCTCATATAATTTTTTGTTGCCATTATATTTTTTGGATAAGACATGTATTTTTGTCTCTGAATAAATGGAGAATTAAATTAAATAAAATTGAATTGTTGCGTGTCCTTTTTATGTTGCTGACCCTTCCCTAGACGAGCATTATAGATTGGGGTTTGTATCATTTATAAATGAAATCGTGCCTCATCTGAAGGTGACGGTGCAGTGCATTCATCCTCAGGTCCTGCTGCTTTATTCCTCTGAAACACAACAACAGCACAATAAGTGAATAAAACATCACAAATCCTATAATATGATCATCTTACTGCAAACATCAGGGGTTTATTCTTCATATGTGGATTACTCAGTTAGCTGGATTTGGATATTGACGATTTGGCATGATCCAGGATTGTTTCGTTATTCAAAACAGAGTTGTTGTCATAGCAACAGTTCTGGTAGCTCAAACCTGCTCGGGAGCAGGCTCATTTCATATAAGCAGGATTAATAATTAAAACTATATATATATATATACATACATATACATATATATACATACACACACACACAAACATTTATAACAATTAGTAATATTTAATATTATAATAATAAATGTTTATATACATATACTGTAAGTTTAAAATATATATAAATAAAACGGGCTGGTTCTCCTCAAGGGGTTGATCCGAGAACATTTATTAATACAGACTTTTTAGATACAAATGCTTACTATTTTAAGGTACTGACCCAGCTTTACAATTTGTGTATTTGTGTATGATAATAGACAAAAGCAGGATCTGAGGATAAGGCATGATTTCATCTATAAATGATACAAACCCTAATTTATATTGCTCATCTAGGGAAGGGTCAGCAACACAAAAAGGACACACAACAATTCAATTTTATTCAGAGACAAAAATACATTTAAACAAAATTTAATAGACATGCAAATATTCAATATTCAATATTTAACAGTTTTTTGTTTGTTTTTTATAAAGGAATAATGTTTGCAGTCGTGTACATGTTTTGACAGCTAATATGACAGTGATTTGATGCTTTGCAGAAGTTGCAGACGCCTTTACCAATATCAAAATGCTTTTTTTGATGCAAAATTAATTTAAATTCGCTGATTAAGAAACTTAAAAAGGCCTAGGCTACTATAATAAAGAAAATCCACTCTAAAATGTAAAACTAAATAAAATCGCTAAATACTTGACACATGAAAGTGTAAAGCCTGCAGCTCAAAAGTAATGTTTAAAATTATTGCGTATCATATTTAACAAATGAGTTTTTTTTCATATTTTACTATGAGTTTTATGTAATTTTGCTGTCATGGATAACTGAATATTAATCAGATGATGTCATTACGCTGCTGTGCCGTCAGCCAATCACTGCATTGCTGATCATGATTTCGAGGATCGATAGATCTGTCCTTCACAACACACACAGCGATCTCAGATCAGTTCAACCAGACATTTTAATCTGATTCGCGAACTTGTTTGAAGAACCAAATTAGCCAGAGATCAGTTATCAAGATTAAAAGATCCAGGATCTGCCAAATCATTTTAGATCATTTAAGCAAGGTATGAAGAAATTGCCCCTGGTTAAAAACAGTGAAGATCATCCTCTACCTGAGAACTGCTGGAGGCTTTTCTGTGTGTCAGGCCTAGACACTCTGCAATCTCCTGAGACAAACTACTGACCGACTGATCCTGAAACAGAAACCAAAACTAAATACAGAGACAGAATGCACACAAACACAATACAATCATTCCTGTTCATGACAATAATCATTTATTTTAGTTTTAGTGTGTCAGATATTTGTGATCAGGAAATTCTGAATGCATTTCAAAGTTTTGGATTGATTTATTTACACTGCATTAATTGCCCAATTTCTCTAAATGTTTTGAATAATTCTTAAAAATATCTCAAATTAAACACAGTCATGGCCAAAACTATTGTTAATATGAGCAAAAAAAAAAAAACAAGTGAAAATAAATTTGCTTGGCTTTTGGCCATTTTTAGCTTTCATTCAAAAAAAAAACTCAAAAAAAAAAAAAAAAAAAAGAATCGTTTATGGATATATGATTAAATGGTCAGATTGTCTTGCTGAAATGTCCACCCTGGCTTCATCTTTATCCTCCTGCTAATGTAGATGTTGGACTGAAGCAGCTGATAATCATTTACACTGAGGAAGGGCAGAGAGTTGCTGAAGAACTACTGAGAGATTTCAGCTGCTGTCTGGGCTTTCACTGCTGAACTACACCTCCCTTTCTTCATGTGTTCAATATCTTTTTCCCTGCATCATTTCATTTTATTAAACAGAACTTCATTTTTAAACTAATTAGATTTGTTTTCTTTTTATTTGGATTTCTTTGGATGTTATCTACATCTGGGGCAAAATTCAAGTCAACAGCACCTTGATGGCGTGTTCAATACTGATTTTCCATGCTGTACTTGTACTCTATTGAATGTGTTGATAAACTCTTAATATACTTTACACACTGTATACTATATCACATGTGTTCTATCTAATGTGTGGTTTGCCTTACATGTATTCTATGTAATGTATAGTTTCTCATAAAAATACTGAGGTTACTTGAAACTAGAACATGTCTGATGGAAATTCATTACAGGCCCTGCAGGCACCCCTACCAGAGCACTCGTATTATCTCCAAGTTAAATAGAGAAGCTATTATTCATACAACACAGAGACATCCATAGACATGTCATCGACGGGGTAACTATGGGTTAAAGAACAATTAAGGCTATAGACTGAGGGATACAGTCTCGGGAGAGCAGGATGCCGCTGGGGACATGCAAACTGATGAATGACAAAGCTGTGGACAGCAGAACATGGCAAGCAGACATCTGTGGGACATGATGAATGACATGTCAAACTATAAAGGAGGAGAAAAGTGTGTGTATAAAACTGTGTGTATCGAACAGATGAACGATCGTTTAACCTTTACTGTTGCATGCTGCTTCTAACAATAAATGCTTCAGACTTCTGTCTTCTTTTGATTTTGCTGAACTTAGAAAGTAAAGATTAAGAACTAGAACAATTTTCTGTAACAACATTGATAAATATTCATTATTAAACATTCTCCATCAGTTGTCCATGACTAAACTGTTAATGTCTCAGAAGTCTGGAGTGGAGGCTTTTTGAACAAAAGATTAAAAGGCTAAACAATACAAATGTGTGGCCCTGGACCACAAAAACAGTCAATAGTGTCAGCTTCTGTTAGAACTGGGTTGAGATACAAGAAAATGTGCAATCTGAGAGAAAAATCTCTCAGAGATTAAAAAAATAAAAATAAATTTATAGAGAAATCTCATATAAAATTTGCATATAACTAATCAAAAACTAAGCAAAAATTTGTTAAATTCACATTGTTTATGATAATATTCGATATTCAAAAGTTTTTTTGTTTGCTTGTTTATTATAAAGGAATAATACTGTATGCAGTCGTGCACATGTTTTGACAGCTAATATGACGGTGATTTGATGAACACTAGAGAGCATTTGATTGGTCAGAAGATTTGATGAGAAACTGTATGAAGTATGAGGTGACATGAAAAAAAATGTTGATCCATTTAGGCGGAAGTGACAAACTGCAAACTTTGGATGTTTAACCATTTTAAAGAAAACCCTTTGAATTATCATAAAACACTATTGAAGTGTTTAAAATAACTATATATGTTGTCTGTGTTATGATAAACACCTAAAAAAAAGAGGTGCTTTTTATCTTTTTGTTTCATAAACTCAAATGTGAAAGTGTACCTTATAGGTTCTGTGTGGTCTAGGGTGCTGTAATTAATTTTGGTGGTTCCTGCAAAAGTCTGTAATCATAGGAAAACAGAAAAATGTCTCCACCATAATCTATGCAAAAGTTATTGTATTCCAACTGATGAGAGGTGCTGTACAAGCCACAGGGAGCGATCATTGTGTTCATTTCACTATTCTTTTGCTTGATCAAACATAATTCACTGTGTTTGGAGCACGTCAGACATATAAAAGCATTACTAATGCACATCACCTCAAAAACAGAGGAGAATGGCCCTGAAGCACACAGCATAAGGTAAGAGATGACAGCTGTCTGTGCTATCTGGGGCTGCTTATTGATCATAAATGTATTGTTTTCACTTCTGCGCCATTAAGACACCGTGATTTATTTAACAACTGCTTAATATGTGAATATAATTTTGTAAAAAGATTGCTAGAACCGTATGAGCACCGGCAAGAGCTTTCATTTGAACTATAACTTGTACATGTGTCATATATAAACCGTATAAAAAATATGAAAATGAACCAATGTTCAATACCCAGCTCGGGTCTCCAAAATACTGCTTATTTAAGTGTAAATAAATTTTGTACAGTAGAATAAAAACCAAAGTGATGCATATGAGCATAAAATATATTTTCTACACTTTCAAACATAACTACTTACAGGGGTCTGGTGCAATGCTAGCCCTTTAAATCTTAAAGTAAAATTCGATGACGTCACTGACCCGGTACCGGGTCAACAAAGTTTAAATGGTTAAATCTGTTTTCTAGACTCAAATTGTCACTGCGTTAGAGCACACAAGCTAATAGATATACTTGAAACTAACAGACTGAAACTATCATCAATGTTTTATTTTAATTTTATGGGACCTTTATCTTGACATGGCTTCCAAAAAAACTTTACATTAAAAAACAATAGAAAAGTAGCGCATCCGAAAGGAAAATGCATTCTGTGTGAACGTCCCCTAAGATTTAGTTTGCCATCCCTGTTTGCTCATGTTTATTATGGCCATGCAGGTACACCCATGTATGCAGATCTCCTGTGTGTGTGTGTGTGTGTGTGTGTGTGTGTGTCTGTGTGTGTGTATGTGTGTCTGTGTGTGTGTGTATGTGTGGTTGTGTGTGTGTGGTGGTGTTGACCTGTGGTGAGGCCTGAAGACACACATCGCTGCAGTCCAACGCCTCTCTCAGTTTCCCAGACTCCTTCAGACACACAGCCTTACGGTATAAAGCTTTAGCGCTGTCCTTACAGATAACCAGCGCACGATCACAGTCCTTCACTGCACTCTCAAACTCACCCTGATGGACAGAAACAGAAACAAACATAAAAAAACTATAATAATAATAATACAAAAAAAAAAACCAGTCATTTATTGGTCACACTTTGCAATAAGCTGTGTGCGGGGTCTTGGGGGTAATCTCCATGCCGTACCTAGCAAGATGCCGCCCTGGGGCGATCACCTATACTGCCCATAACTAAATCTGCTACGGACTATAACATCCTATTGAAAGTCAATAATTGTATTTTCAGTTTTCTAATCTTCTTGAGTGTTCAACAAAAGAATTAAACTAAAAAAGGTTTGGATCAGGTGAAGGATGAGATGACAGAAAGAACATTTTTAGATGAACTGTCCCGTTAGGAGAGTAGATAATTCACTGAATGCCTCACACAATGATAAAACACACATCTTTACACTCAGCTTTTTGCATTACTCCGTGAACATCATCATTTAACTCAAGTGTTGTTAAATTCACCATGTTCTGATGAACGACTGCGCGGTTGATGTAGAGACTCTCCAGCAGGCCAGAGGGAACGCTCAGCTCCTCGTTTTCAGCATAAAGAGCCACACTGATGGCCTCGCTGAAATGCTGAAGCGCCCGCGTCCAGTCGCGCTCCGCAAACACAGCGTTTCCCTCCTCCAGGAGATCACACACCAGCTGGACCACAAACCCCTGAACACACACACACACACACACACACACACACACACACACAGACACACAGACACACAGACACACAGAAATGAGACAAACAATCTGGAGAATACTTTAATATCTGTAATAATTAAAAAAAAAACTCTTATTAGCTGATGAGCATTCTGAGGTGTTTGGTTATTGTCAGATAAAGGCACAGCTAAAGTAGTTCCTGCAGGTTTTGAGAGCATTACAGCTCCATATTACACTGCTGAATGATTAGAGATATTTGGCAGCTACAGCAGTCAAAAATCACATCAACACACAACAGAAGGCTTTGGACGAGATGTGTGAGAAATCAGAGCTACACACAGGACATGTTTGAGGAGGACAAAAACCTGACAAAAGTCTCAAATAAAATATAAGTCTTTGTTTGTTGTGAATACACGCCCTCTAGTGGCCAAGACTACACAATGTGCCTTTAAACAGCTCAAGATATCAGGAATAAATACATTTAAGCTATTCTCTGGAAACAAAATGTGAATTTGTCTGTATTGTGGCAAGGTCTGAGTGCAAAATATTTCCAAACCTCATAGCCTTGAGGGTCTGGATATGGTAGAGAAGATCTGTAGACACAAAAACAAAAATAATTGATTATAAACAGTCAGCAGGAGGGAATGATGCTTAAAATGATAGATCACTGCTCCTCAAAGAGTTTGTTTACCTCTATAAAATCTATTCATACATTTATCCAATTACAAACTTGACTCAATTAACCAAGTTATGCATAAATTACAGCCAAACCACGATAGCGACTGACTGAATGTATGATGTCAACAATCAAAGACATATGAAGCATATTCAGAGACTGTGTTTCCCATAGACCTGAGTGGCAAACTATTTTTTAGGCTGACAAGAAACATTTAGGGTATTATTAGAATGTCTTTGTGTGCTCCTTTATTTAGTTTATTTATATTCTTTTACACTATATATGGGATTGTTGAATTGTTTTGTAAATTCTAAGTCAAAAGCTTTGTGTACCACATATCAGAAAAGTCAGATAAAAAAACAGTCACAGAAGGGTAAAGCAGGTCTCTGTGCAGTAAAATAGTGCAGTATTTATTATCTGTCATACTTGATGAAGCTCAGCGCTCTCCGAATCTTCTCCTGCCGTTTCTGCCGCTCAGCGCTCATGTTTGACCATCACACAGCTGAAAAACAAACACACACACATCAGCAGACGTTCATGTTTACCAGCTGTTCGGTCTCAAACACACTCACATGCCTTCAGTGCACTGGGTTCACAAGTACATTCACAAGTTCACAGACCATAAAATATAATAACCCTAAAATAAAACTTAAAACCAGGCTGGTGTTTTGGCCAGTTCCAGGCTGGAATGACCAGCTAAAATTAGCTTAGCCAGGCTGAAAAATGCCTAAACACTTCTAAACCAGCCTGGTTAACCAGTTCAAATCAGCCAATCAACATTTTCAGCAGGGAATGCATTCAAGGGTGTAAACTATTTTCCCATGAAGGAGCAGTTTATTTATAAAGCAGTAGGAATGTAAAGATGAACCACAAACTTAAGTTGAAAATCTGGTTGAGATGTCAAACAAAAGACAATACAGCTGGAGTAAGAGCTTATATGAATCTCTGAGGGGAACTGACTGTCTTTAGAAAAGTTTCCCTGGTTTTTCTGAAACATATTAAAGCATTAGCTCACCCTGGAATTAAAACTGTCATTGCTTTACGCACATTTGATCATCTTCACAACAAAAATTAAGACATTTTAAATGAAACCCTCTCTGACCTTCCCTAGAAAAGGAGCCAAAAAAGCATTGGCAAAATATTCAGAGTGTCTTCAGTGGTTCAACTGTGACCATATGAAGATGCAGAAACACTATTGTAAAAAAAAATGCCTGTAGAAATTACTCTGTAAGTTATCCTGTGTGTGTTTATTATGTATTGCCATTATTGCACAGTACTGTAGTAAACATACACTCTGATCTGATGTGCGAGAAACTGGCAAACAGTTGTCTTTACAGTTTTGGGGGGAGATTTATGCACCAGTGTTCGTAGGGCTTTGTATGATTACAGATTGAACCACTGAAGACTCACTGAATTATATTTTTTGTATTTATCTGGACTTTGAGCATTTTGGGACCGTTATGGAGGATGAGGGAGCTCTCTGATTTAATCTAAAACATCTTAAAATGAGGTTTTGAAGATGAATGAAGGTCTCTGGGGATTTAAACTGCATGAGGGTGGGAAATTAATGACAAATTACCATTATTGAATGCACACTAAATTCATTAATGTCAGGAAATACATGGTTTATTTAAAAGGATATTTAATTAATCATCAAAACAAAGAAATTAAGACACAAATAAAAAAAAAAAAAATATTCTTGAGGTTTTAAGTGGTGAAGTCAAACAGATTTAAATTTCATTTCAATAAGATAAATTTTATTTTAATATGAGGGTTAAAAACAATAATATAAGTGTCCTCAGGTGGTTATTGGAGTTAAATAAATCATTTGGCTAATGCTAACCCTATACTCTTGTTCTCACACCTTTTCATATGTTGTATTTGAGAGTTTGTCAGGTTTTTGTCCTCAAACTGCACCTGTGTGTAGCACTAGTTTCTCACACATCTCCCCCAAAGCCTTCTGTAGTGTGATGATGCATGGAGCTGTAATGCACTCAAAACCTGCCAGAACTACTTTAGCTGCGTGTTTATCTGAAAATACCCGAACACCTTAGAGCTGGGTTGTCAAACTCAATTTCTTAAGGGCCGCAGCCCAGAAAAGTTTAGTTCCAACCCTAATTAAACACACCTGATCAAACTAATTGAGTCCTTCAGGCTTGTTTGAAACCTACAGGTAAGTGTTTTGGAGCAGGGTTGGAACTAAACTGCGCAGGGCTGCGGCCCTCCAGGAATTGAGTTTGACATCCCTGCCTTAAGCCTGGTTTATACTTCTGCGTCAAGTGACTGGCGTAACCCACAGCGCATGCAACGCGTGTGGCTGTGCATTTATACTTCTGCTGCTGTCTCTGTTGGTCTGCATTAACACTTCTGAAACACTAGTTGGCAGTAAGGTGTAAATGTTCCTCTGTGTCGAGTTTCTTCGCTGCTTTTTTGGCTTTTCCTGAACACTTCCGGGATGTACAAGTGACTCAAACTCGCTCATTTTGAGGCAGGAACCTGCGGACGTGCAACAACTTTAACTATGAGGTAAACACAAAGCAAAACTTTACATCCAGAGCTCCTTCACGGGAATTCACGAAACAATCGCTACATTGGGTTCACGACATTCGCGCGGCTCTCGGTCCCGCCCAGACTCGTCAGCGTTACCAAGCCGACCAATCACAGAGCTGCGCTACGCGTTGTTGCGACTTGTAGTTAAATTTTTTGAGAGGTGCACGTCAGTGACGGCGACGGCGAAGGGCTATGCGTCAGCGCCATAGCATACGCTGGCGTTTGACGCAGAAGTATAAATCAGCCTTTAGAGTGATCATCAGCCAATCAGAATCAAATATGACTCATTCATTTATACATGCATCAATCTAACAATTATCAGTATGAAACCCAATGGAATTAATTAATTCTTTTTGAATTCATTTGAATTTATGACTTGTGATTGTTCAAAAGTAGTCAAAAGCCTTGACACTTAAATTTTTTTCTAAAAATACTAAAACACAAATATAACTCTTCGCTTACCCACCACAGAATACATTTATTTTACATGAATAAACAATCATCACATCAGTGGTCATTGTTTCCTGTGCTGTGTATTATATAATGTGCGGTTAATATCACAATATTAGCCTATATTTCACTAGTTATGTGCCCTCTCTCTTATGCTCCTGGTCAGTCATATGAGTTTAATTATATGCAGTGAATCATGTCATGTGGTGTTATTTCTGTTGCTGAGAGGGTAAAAACACATAAGAGAACAATGACAAAAGTGTTATTGATATTGAGGAAAAAAACATCTAATGCAAGTGAAGTTTAGAATAGGTGTTTTAAGGGACAATAACATATATACATTATAAAACAAAAAAGTGGAGGGATGGCCAAACATGTACAAACATTTTAAAATTAATAAATATATCTCTTTACAAATAAATACAATAAAAACATTAAAGCATTTGCAGGTCACTTCACTATAGTTTCCACTGTACTTACTGAAATAATGTGCAAATAATATGTTTGCACTCTTAACTGTGTATTTAGTGTTCATGGTAGTGTTTTATTTATATATCATGGTGTACGGTTGAAGTCAGAATTATTAGTCCTCCTGTTAAATTTTAACTCTTTTAAATTTTTTAAATTTTAATTTTTTTCAAAATTTCAGTTATATTTTTCAGCACATTTTTAAACATAATAGTTTTAATAACTCATTTCTAATAACTCATTTCTTTTATGTTTGCCATGATGACAGCACATAATATCTGACTAGATATTGATCAAGACATTAGCATTCGGCTTAAAGAGACACTTAAAGGCTTAACTAGGTTAATTAGGGTAAAGTTAGGGTAATTAGGCAAGTTATTGTATAACAGTGGTTTGTTCTGGAGACAATCAGAAAATAATATCCTTAAGGGGGCTAATAATATTGACAATTAAAATGGTTTTAAAAACTAAAAACTGCTTTTATTCTAGTCGAAATCAAACGAATAAGACTTTCTCCAGAAGAAAAAATATTATAAGAAATACTGTGAAAAAATCCTGAAACTGTTCAACATCATTAATATTTGAAAAAGAAAAACATTCACAAGAGGACGAATAATTTTGACATTATCATTTAAATATAATTTTCACAATACGAGATATTGATATATGTTCTCATAATACCCAGAACTTTAAAAAAAAGTGTTAACGTTGTAATGCAAGTTGTAATGTAATTGTTGTAATGCAATAATGCTGGAAACTCGTACATTATTCACTGTAAAAAAAAAAAAAAGTTGGGTTCCACACCTTTGATTTGTGTTGGGACAACATGAAGAATTAACTTGTTCGATTTTACAAATTTAAGTGGATTGAACATAAAAGAATGAAGTTGTTTCTTAAAAATACTCAAGAATTGTGTTGATTCAGCTCAATTTAAATAAGTAGTTTTAACACGCAGCAAACATAATTTTATGAGTGTTCAGTCCTTCAACAATCTCACTACACATACTTTCCTCCTCTTTCCGCCTGGCTGGAATCTTCACATTACTCCTGTTATCTCAAAGCCCAGCTAGATTAATGGTGGCATTGACCCACACAGCTTATCTTACAAATAAAAAAGGCATTTTCTGTAAACGTGCTCACTGCACTCAGAGACCGTTAGCTATTGAGCAACATCTGGCTCACTCACTGCATATTTTGCTGTATCGTGGTTCCCCAATAAATGAATTTAATGGAAATACCATAAAGTTGTTGGAAATTATTTTTAAAAACTTGGCCCCAACGTACTCATTAATTGTCAATTGAAGTTTTTGTACATCATTGCTTTCCTTTTAACCACTAATATTTTTTGGCATTTCTCAAAAAAAAAAAAAAAAAAAAAAGTCTAAATAAATTGCTAATTCTGAACTTTAGTTTTTAAACTGAGATTTGGTCATTTGTTAACAATTTTCTGAGAAATGGCTAAAAACAGTGATTCAAATGAAAGCAGTGAAATATGAAGACTTTACATGACAATTAATGTGTGATTTGGGGAATAATTTAGTTAATTAAATTGTCTTTTAAAGTGTCATAAAAGGAGGGTATACATGATCATTATACACTGAACGACATATTAGTGAGAGTTTACTGTAAAAGTTTTCTGCAATACGAATAAAATATATTTTTAATTATTATTATATTATTATTATTATTATAAAATTAATAAAAATAAAACATGCCTTTTGGATTTTTTCAACTTTTTGAGAAATTAGTAAAAAAAAAAAATTATAAAAAAAGCAATGTAGTATAAATATTTTTACTGACAATAATGAGTAATTTGGGGTCAAACCATAATCCTTAATAGAGTCTTTTGAAATGACATTAAAGGATTTACTTATTGTCCGGGGATATAAAATATCCTGAAATACATATTACTGAGTTTTCTGTAAATAATGGTAAAAACGTTTCATAATTTTTGTTCTAATCAAAGAAACAAAGAGACTCTGCAAATTACAAATTTAGGTTTTGTTTATTTTGTTATACTTGAAACCTTTAGCCACAACTGAAAAATGCATATAAATACATGGTTGAAAATACACAACACAATAACTTAGCGTGAACTAAATTAACAAACAAATAAATAATCATTTACTAATAAATAATCATTTAAATAAATAATTTACTAAAAAAGTGTGAGACAGTGGTTAGCATGGTTGCCTCACAGCAAAAAGGTCACTGGTTCAAGTCCCGGCTGGACCAGTTAGCATTTCTGTTTGGAGTTTGTATGTTCTCCCCATGTTGGTGTGGGTTTCCTCCGGGTGCTCCGGTTTCCCCCACAGTCCAAAACACAAAAAAAAAATTGCTCTGAACAAAAATCATTATGTCCATTACAAATGTAGGTTTTTGCTTTGTTTTCAATACTGGAAAACCCCTTTTCATCTTTAACTCTGAAACAACACAACTGAAACCTATATAAATATATAAATACATGACTGAAGATTTACAACTTGTTTTTATAATGCACTTTAAGCATAAACAACATCATACTAAAACTTTAATAAGATACTAAAAGTTCAGCTTGGTCACTCCTTTCACACTTTTAATAAGATGAGGCCAGCACAGATTAAGTGTTGATGATGCTATTTCTAACATATACAAGTTGAAAATATTATAAAAATACCACAAAAACCTAGCTCACTACTCATACAGCATTATTTTATTCATTTTCAGCTTATTCCCTTTATTAATCTGGGGTCGCCACAGCAGAATGAACCACCAACTTATCAAGCATATGTTTTACACAGCAAATGCCCTTCCAGCTGCAACCCAGTACTGGGAAACATCCATACACACTCATTCACACACATGCACTACAGCCAGTTTAGCTTATTCAATTCCCCTATGGCGCATATGTTTGGACAGAACACCTAGAGTAAACCCACACCAACACAGGGAGAACATGCAAACTCCACACAAAAATGCCAACTGATGCAGTCCAGGCTCAAACCAGCAAGCTTCTTGGTGTAAGGCAATCGTGTTATTCACTGCCCACCCTCATACATACAGCATTATTAATAATTTTATTATCTTAATTATTGATGATGTGTTTTTTTTACCCTGTGGGGGTTGGGGTGACTTTTAATGGACAGAACAGTCAATGCACAAACCCCTTACCCCAACAGTTAACACTATTATTCATTTATTTCTATAATGCTGTCTTGTTGATAAATTTTTTTGTGATTATTTAAGAAGTAAAAAAAATAGCTATTCAAAGGAAAACAGTGAAGTATAAAGATTTAATTGACAACAACCAATAATTTGGGACCAAAACTATGATCCTTAAGCTATTACGCCCCTCGCTGCTGGAATCAGCTTCCAGAAATGATCAGATGTGCTCCGACATTAGGCCCGTTCAAATCAACACTGTGAACAGATCTGTTTAACTGTGCCTTTATTGTATGAGCACTGTGCTATATGTCCCACAGATCGCACTATTGTCTCTCTTTTTTTTTCATTCTTTTGTAACCTGTTTAAACACATTTAATCTGTTTTAATCATTATTATTTGCTTTTATTTTTCTTATACTTGTCTCTTTTATTCCTGTTTATGTAAAGCACTTTGAATTGTCACTGTGTATGAAATATGCTATAGAAATAAACTTGCCTTGCTAATAGACTTAAAGAGTTAATTTTTTTGCCCCGGGGTGCACATGATCAATACACTAAATTACAAAGTAAAATAATGGTTAAAAATGTAGTATACTTTTTAAGTTTTCTTTTTATACTGGAAAACCCCTTTTCATTTTTAACCCTGTTACATCAGCCACAAGTGAAATCTTCATTTAAATACTTGGTTAAAATGTACAATGCAGAAACTTATAAATGTCCTTTGACCGAATTACACCAAAACCCAGCTTACACACGAGTATAATACGTATAAAACATAGTTTAAACACACAAACAAACAAACAAACAAACAAACGTCATGTGACACATTGATGAAAAAAACAGCTCTACAAACAAACTAACAAACAAATGTCATTTGACCCAATGAAACCAAAACCCAGCTTACACACACGAGTATAATACGTCTAAAAACATATTTTAAACACACACACACACACACACACACACACACACACACAAACAAACAAACGTCATTTGACACAATGGCACAAAAAACAGCTCTCACATATGTTTAAATGAGTTTAAAACAGATTTAAACCACACAAACACACAGACACACAAACAAATGTCCTTTGACCCAATGAAACCAAAACTCAGCTTACACATGAGTATAATACGTCTAAAAACATATTTTAAACACACACACACACACACACACACACACACACACACACACACAAACAAACAAATGTCTTTTGACTCAAATGACACAAAAAATTACACAAAATTCTATCTCACTACACATACAGTATTATTTTCATCATTAGTATGATCATAACTATTAATATTATGAAGCATGCTCTCTGTAATGCTGTCTATGAAGGTTGCAGAGCATAAATCTGAAACACGCCCAAACTATTTTGACTTCACTTCCTTCCAGTTTCTGCAAAAACGAAACCGAAGGAGCTGTAAATAAATAAACACAAGACAATCCAACAGTCCACAGACTCAGAGTCCAGACACAAACACTGAATCAGACTAACGCTGAAGTCGAGTCAGATCATCGCGGTGAAGCCAGAAAGTTTCCAGACAGACTCAAACTCACCTGTAAATCCGCCTTTCCTCCGAGTCTCGCTGGTTTTCAGCTGTTGGTTCGTGTATAAAACATTTAGGAGAATGCCTGACACTTTATTAAACGTTAAAACTCATGATATTTGTTAATTTAATGAGCTGACACTGCACCGCTCCGTTAATGTGAACCCGACCAGTGTTTCCAGCTGATAACCGATTTTCTTCCACATGGTGTGCGCGCGCCTGATCCTGCAGGGGGCGCGCGCGGTGGAATCCATTCAACGGAATTCCAAAGGTTATTTTTCATATTAATTTCTTGAGTTAATATTCGGCACACATTTTTAAAGCAACCATAATAATTATCATATAATATGCTTTTTGTTTCGTGTAAAATTCCATATTAGCGGATAGACACATAACTGATTGGGTCATAACTGTCAGCGCTGAGAAAAGTAACACAAGTCATGTGACAGTGACGTCCCGAAAGCGCTTAACGTCCCGATAAAAATAATGAATTACTCTATTTATTTATTCATTTAATTATTTAATTATTCACATTTTTATTACCTTAATTTATACAACAATGAAAGTTAAAAAGTATTTACAAAAACAATGTACATTAATAGACAAAAAGTAAAAAAAACTATGTAGTTTTCCCACTTTTATTTTTGTTTTATTTACCAAATAAACGTAGTTGCTTATTTCTATTAAAATAAGTAAAATCATTTTTACACTGCTTATTTAAACTTGTGAATGATAAAATATTTGAAGTCTTTCAATTATTATTTATTATTTTTTGTTGCCAACAGTATGACTAATATTTTGTACATAATTTTATTGTATAATAATTATTATTATCTATAAATATTGTATAATGATATCGTTCTTGCTCTAAAATAAAAAAAAAAAACATTGCCATTTAAATATTTAAATAATGATGAAACACACATTGGCCTGTTCTTTAGTAACCTGTAACCATTGGCATCCATAGTATTTTTTTTTCTATTATGGAAGTATATTTGCTGGAGGTTTTGAGTAAACAATCCTCTTAAGTTTGCTTTCATAGAGTCCTCCTTGAGTTTTAGATTTCTTCAGTCAGACTATAAGCCTTCACACATAATATTACACGGATTCAGACTACATTATTAAAGATTAAATATGACAAAAACAACATTTAGAAACTATATAAAACATTAGCAAATTACGCCTGTAAAACAAAACATCATAAAATTCACATTAAATAAAATGGACCACGTCAAAACTCCAAGTCCCATGATGCCCTGCGTGCCCGCTCTCTGCGTCATCAGCGCGAGCGGGAGGAAGGATTCGTAACAAATACATCTGCCTCCAGAAAGCACATTAAACACCACTTGTAAGTATAAATATACTATTTTTACGAGACATTTGTTCCGGGAACTGGTGTATGATGGCTGTAAACAGACGGAGTGACTTAAAATCTGTTGTGTGTGTTGATCACGTGTGTGAATGAGCACGTTCATAGAAATGTTATCTGGCATAACCATGAACAACAGCGCCTAAAAAATAAACAAGTAAAGGATTTATGTGGGATAAGTTCATATATGCACTTTAATAATAAAATAACAGGGCTAGAAATCCCAGATGAATACACCTCATTAAACACATAGACATCACTCATATGCAGCAGGTTAACTATGTTTATATACAGTCACTTTAATTAATCAGTAACTAATAACTTTTACCAAGTAAAGTTATCAGTAACTAATAAAGTTATGGTAATTAATCACCTTAATTTTTCAGATTTTGATTGTAATGCGATAATGTGCTTCTTTTGTAAAGCTGCTTTGAAACAATGACTGTGAAAAGCGTTATAAAAATAAACTTGAATTGAATATAAATGGATAATAAAAAATAGTTCATAGATATCATAAAGATTTCTGTTGATTTATTTATTACCAAGTGCAACGATTGCAGTTTTTCTGAAATGCTATGTTCAAATATGTAAATTCATTACAGGATAATTACATTCAACATCTATAACTTCTTTCATTTTGAGCATTATAAACTCTAGATGATGGACAGTAAAGCCCAAAGGGTCTTCATTACAAAGATATCTAAACTGAGAATGTAGACCAAATTATTTAGCAACTGTTAGATGTGGGGGGACACCCGGAGGAAACCCATGCCATCATAGGGAGAACATGCAAACTCCACACAGAAATGCCAACTGACCCAGCCCAGGCTCAAACTAGTGACCTTCTTGCTGTGAGGCTACAGTGCTAACCACTGCACCACCACAGAAGGAGATATAATCTCAAACTTTTAAACAGAAATCTGAAACCCACGAGACAATTGACTTTCAAGACTTGTGTTTTCTAGGTTCTTACAAGAATTTTTTCCCTTGTTTGTATATGAAAAAAACGAATATTGAACAGTCAAATTTTTTCTCGTCACTTTTGCATGCATAACTCTGTCTATTTTTACTTTAGCATTAAACTGGCTATTTTTAAGCAATGGTTAAAGCCAGGTTTAATTGCGTAATTTTGTTGGCATAATAAAATTGAAAGCTCCTTACAGAGTGTAGCAGGGAAGTGACGCTGACAACAGGGGTGAGGATCAAATGCAGGTTTATTAGAATGGTCAGGCAAGCAATGGTCAACACAGGGGCAAACAGATGTGTGCGGGCAATCCAGAATCATAGTCAATAGGCAGGCAGATGCTCAGAGGCAGGCAGCACATAGGATTAAACAAATAAACGAGGCGAGGATCAAAACACGGCAAAGCAAGAGTAGTGTCACAAACAGTAGACAAGACTCAGCAACTGTGTCTTTGAGAGGTGTGTATATACTCGGTGTTATCAATCCAATAGCAGCTTCAGCTGTAAGTGTCTAATCAATGGTGACTTGGAGCAGGTGAGTGCGTGTGTTGCATGACTGGGATCTTTAGTCCATAAACCGGCAGATTTGTAGTTCATGTGAATGTTTTCCAGCGATCTGTGGTTGTTAGATCACTGGTGAGCCGGATTTTGGTTTTCATTTTAAAATCACTTTGTAAATCAGAAAATAAAAGTACAATTTCACAACATTTCAGCCATGTTAATATATAAATATTGTGAATTTTGCACTTTATAAACAAATTCCTCAATCAGTTGGTTGATGCAATTAACACTAAAATTGAGGGGGGGGGGGGTGACAGATGCAAATAAATAAGTCTTTAAATCACTATTTAAGGATTTGGTTGTCTTTTTTCACTAGTCTGAAACAGCATGTTATGAAATCTCTAAACTGAGTAAACTGACTCTCTATTTATTTATTTATTGCCCTAATAATAAAATTAAGGGTAACACTACAATAAGATTGCATAAGTTACTATATTTACTAACTTGAACAAACAATGAACAACACATTTTTCACAATATTTATTTATCCTTGTTAATGTTAAATGTAAAACTAGATTGATGTTGCGGAAAAAAAAAATTAAATAGATTAAGATTTAAAAAACTACTACTACTATCACATTTTGTTCTCCATTTTTTGTTAGCCAAATATGTCAGCATGATGCTATGATGATCATTATCCTAAATTGCCATATGATTTCAGTGTTAAAAACTGCTTTGTTTTTTAATAGTGCATAAATATTTCCATTCATCCACTAGTGCACAATATTTCCATTCATCCACTAATCTCAAAAATAGTCAAAAGTATTAGTTTCCACTAAATATCAGTGTTTTATTATGATTTAGTCTTGTTTATTCTTGGTTCATGTTAGTACATACAACAACTAAATCTAACTAATTCAACTTTATTGTAAAGTGTGACTAAATTAAGTGTTTAATTCCAATGTTATACTGTTTTCCTGCCTTACAATTCACATGAACAGTTGTTTAAATCTCTCTTTAAGTGAACATATATAGCTGGTTAATTCTTATGTGCTTTTCTGTGTTGTTTAGCTGGAGTCAGAATGGCATCTGATGATGTGGCAAACCTGGCAGACTCGCTGGCCAAGACTCAAGTGAATGAAGGAGAGCTAAGCTATAAAGGAAAGGGCCTTAAACTGGACAACGCTCAGTCTGGTGAGCTCAAACACACTGCTTTAAACACACGATTATCATCTGATGCTCATGTTGGCTTAATAAACTCAGGAGAACAGGATCGGTTCAGAGTTGATAAAACTCAGGCTTTGTTGGTTCCACAAAACTTAACTCTGGATTTTATGCAGATAAATGTGAGGCATCTTTTACTCTTTATCCAAACTTTTATTTTGGATATGATTAATCTTTGCCCAGCACTAAAATAATTCATTTAAAACATCTATGAAGCCAGATGAAAAGAGCTGTTCATGAACGAGAGCTAAAAGAAAATATATTACTCTATTAGTGCAGGTGAAGATAGCTTGAGTAGATGATTTTTTGGAGCTTTTATTATCATTTGGTTGTAATTATTTTGTAAGCATTAGATGTAATATTTATTGTGCATTTAAAGAGCCTGATGTGTTGACAGATAGAAGGTCAAACAAACCTTTTGACCGCCTATGATTGTGTGACCGGGTGAATGTGTCATCATGTCCTAAACATTGGACTGAGAACATATTGAGAAGAACTGTAGGACCTGTACTGTTTAATTTATTTTGTTGGGTACTTCTTGTTTATGCCAAAGCCAAATAATAAATGGACTGGCAACAAGTTGGACAAGGTTTTTGTCATTTTATTTTAAGCAAAGTAAACGTGTCAGAAACAAAATGTAGTTATTGTATTTATGAACACAAACAAGCAATGAACAATACATTTATTACAGTATTTATTCATCCTTATTAATGTTAAATGTAAGACTGGAGTGATGCATTAAAAAGATTTTTAAAAATGTATTAATCATCTGTTATTTTAATGCATCAGCGCATACAAATACACCCTCAGCTATAAAGTAGGGAAAAATGGAAATATACAGTAAACAGGATAATAGAGTCAGGCAGAGTTTGTGTAGTTCTTTTCAAGCAAAGTAAACATGCGTCAGAAACACGAGTGAAGAAAAGCCATGAAATTGTGTATATAAAGACTCAAAATTTACATGTAATCCTTGTTTCAAAAGCTTTATCTTCTGATTAAAACAAGTTAAACTTGTTTATATTGCAGCTATCAATAAATGTGTATCCAATTAAACAAAAAAAAAACAACAACCATAAAACAACTCGAGCATAACCAGAACATAACCTAAAATAGCCAAACCATTACTTAACCATAACCAGAACATAACCTGAGAATAACCAAACAATAACTTGAACATAATCAAAACATAACCTGACAATAACCGAACCATACCTTGGACATAACCAGAACATAACCTGAGAATAACCAAACAATAACTTGAACATAACAGGAAACATAACAAAATATCCTGAAGATAACTTGATCACTCTTAAAATAACCAGAAATAAAACTTAAACAAAAAACCTAATCATAACCAGAACATAAGCTGAAAATAATCAAACAATAACAAGAATATAATTAGAAAATAACCTGAGAATAACCAAACCATAACTTGGACATAACCAGAAGATAATCTGGAAATAACCAAACCATAACCTGATCATAACCAGAACATAACCTGAAAATAACTAAACCATAAACAGAACATAACCAGAACATAACCAGAACATAACCTGAAAATAACCAAAACTATAACATGAACATTACAACATAACCTGAAGATAACTTGATCATGCTCTGAGAATAACCAGAAATATAACCTGAACATAACCTGGATATGTTTTTGAACATGTCCAAAAATGTAATCTGAGCAGAACAAGAAACTGACATAACCGAAACCATAGCTAGAAGCATAGCCTGAACAAAATAAACAAACTAAACTGGAGCATTACCAGAAACAAAACCAGAATATACCCTGCCTCAACTAGCCATGCAGCACATGTGGACAAGTAATTAAAGCAGAGCTACAGTTTAGTTTGTATTGATACAAACTAAACTGAAACTCACCAGGCTAATCCAGCTTCATGATACAGGCCCCAGATGTCTTTATAAAAGAGATGTGCTGTTGTGTTGTGTCCAGTGGAGCAGATGGTGAAGGAGATAGGGGAGTTTGAGGGTCTGCGTGCACTCCGTCTAGAGGGAAACACCATCGGTGTGGAGGCGGCGCAGACCATCGCTAAAGCACTGGAGAACAAGAGCGACCTGCAGGTACTCACATCAACATCACATCTAAATCCAGGTTTACTTTATTTCTACACATGGGTAGACTAGGTTTACAGTGTTAGCTCACATTATTTACATTTCACAGACAGAAACCAGTATTCCTGTCAGAGAATCAGTCAAAGTAGTAGTTTTAAACTTCATCCAATCTCTTCTTTGCTGTATAACGGTGTTGGGTAGTGACTTTATTATTATTTTTATTTATTTAAGCTTTCAAAAGTGCAAAAATTCTTTGTAAAAGGATTATATGCTGCCTAGGAGTTTACTCATGTCTTCAGAAGCAGATCCATGTCTTTTTTTACCAAAAGTATCTCAGATTTTAATTACAAATGCACTTTTTTAATCGAAAACTCTCACAAATTTTGTCTGAAATATTACAATTAGATTATTTTCTGTCACATATTACTATTTATTGAGACTGATCATTTAAAGGGGAACTATTATGCAAAAATATGGAAAACCCATTAGCATAAACAGCCCTGAGTGAGAAGCAGCCATCCACCATTAGAGTTCTTATTCTGCCACTATGCTGACACAAAGGCATCTGTAGCTCCGCCCTCTTTTGAAAAGAGCACAATCTTATTTGCATTTAAAGCGAGTCACCAAAACACGACAATTAGGATCACAGGGTCAGATTCAGAGAGTGATACAACATTATGTGTGAGGTTTTTTGAGCTGAAACGTCACACACACACACACACTCTAGGGACATCAGAGACTTAATATACGTCTTGTAAAAACGTCTTGCAAATTCACCCAAAACAGGAACAAAATTAAAACATATGTCTGTTGTTTTTCCTCTATCTGTCAGTGCTGCCACTGGAGCGACATGTTTACAGGCCGTCTGCGAGCTGAGATTCCTCCAGCGCTAGTAAGAACACAAGAGCACTTAATGATTTAACTTGTCCTCTTTTAAAGCAGAGACTTTTGCGATCAGTAGTCAGATAATGGTGTGTATAACGAACATAACGGTGTTTCTGCAGGTTTCTCTGGGTGATGCGTTAATCTTAGCCGGAGCTCGACTGAAGGTTTTGGATCTGAGTGATAACGCTTTCGGTCCAGATGGTGTAAAAGGCATCGAGAAGCTGCTCAAGAGCGCCGCCTGCCACACCCTGCAGGAACTGCGGCTCAACAACTGCGGGATGGGCATCGGAGGCGGGAAGGTGGGCGAAGCATAATCAGTGCATTAGTGCCACCCTCTTTTTCTGATTAATACATGGAAGTGTTTTTTTCAGTTCAGTTTTGCCTGTAGGGATTTTATTTTAAATAAGATTAAATCAACTAGCTATGAGGTAAATTACAATGAATTATACTTAAATATATTAATACACAGATTACAATTGAAGGAGGTTACAGGTAATAGGATTGAGCGAATGTAGTTAGACGAAGTTTAAAAACTTCAACCTCCAAGAACATAGAGAATGATTTGAGTATGTGTATGTTTATTTGGTAAGATGTGGTAGATTTGGAAAGGATGGATTGCATGAATTATGGGAGTAACTTCTGTTAGACTGTAAACAATCATTGAAGCTTTTTTTTCCACTGTGGATATGAATTATTAGTAATGCAAACTCATTAACCTCATTTGCTTCAGTCATTTTAAATTTAGGTTCCCAAAAGCAGAAGTCGGCTCCTAGCTCTCTGCAGCTCTCACATGGTCGCCCACTGAAGCTAAGCAGGGCTGCACCTGGTCAGTACCTGGATGGGAGACCACATGGGAAAGCTAGGTTGCTGCTGGAAAGGTGTCAGTGAGGCCAGCAGGGGGCGCTCAACCTGTGATCTGTGTGAGTCCTAATGCCCCAGTATAGTGACTGGGACTGTATACTGCTCAATGTGCGCTGTCTTTTAGATGAGACGTTTAACCGAGGTCCTGACTCTCTGTCGTTGTTAAAAATCCCAGGATGTCCTCCGAAAAAGAGTAGGGGTTTAACCCTGGCATCCTGGCCAAAACCTGCCCCATGGCCTCTGTCCATCATGGCCTCCTAACCCTCCTTATATCATAATTGGCTTCATCACTCTGTCTCCTCTCCACCAATCAGCTGGTGTGTGGTGTGCAGTCTGGCACAAAATGGCTGCCGTCGTGTCATCCAGGTGGATGCTGCACACTGGTGGTGTATAAGGAAATTCCCCCATTGTGTAAAGCGCTTTGAGTGCCCAGAAAAGCGCTATATAAATGTAAGGAATTATTATTATTATTATAAGTGCAGTCATATAAAATGCATTAGACACAAAAAAAAATGCGCTCAAAAAAAAAACATTTTCCATGACATAATTGTGGAATTCCAGGAGTTTTCCTGGGAGACAGAACAATACGGGAGATGGGTCTGAAATACGAGAGACTCCAGGGAAAAACAGAAGTGTTGGTAGGTATGAATTAAACCCCTACTCTTTTTCGAAGAACATCCAGTAATTTTTCACAATCACAGAGAGTCAGGACCTCGGTTTAACATCCCATCTGAAAGACGGCGCTCACTGAGCAGCATAGAGTCCCCTTCACTATACTGGGGCATTAGGACCCACTCAGACCACAGGTGGGCGCCCCCTGCTGGCCTCAATAACACCACTTCCATCAGCAACCTAACTTTCCCATGTGGTCTCCCATCCAGGTACTGACCAGGCGCAGCCCTGCTTAGCTTTTTTGGGCGACAATGTGAGAGCTGCAGAGAGCTAGCTGCCTTCACTTTTAAGACCCATTTTCAAACTGTATTCTACATGTAAATTTAAGTAGTCTCCCTCTATAGACAAAACGCTAAAAAAAAAAAAATTATATATATATATATATATATATATATATAAATATATAAATATATATATATAAAAAAAAAAAAATATATATATATATATATAAAGATATATAAAGATATATATATATATATATATTGTCAGAAATGTTGAGTTTTACAGAGCTAAAGGTGCATTCTGGACTGTTGTTTCTCTGGAAAAGTGTGTAATGTTGATCACCTGCTCCACAGATCTTGGCGGCGGCTCTGAGCGAGTGTCATCAGCAGTCCAGTGCTCTCGGCGCGCCCTTCAAGCTAAAAGTGTTCATCGCCGGCAGGAACAGACTGGAGAACGACGGAGCCACAGCACTCGCACAGGCCTTTCAGGTGCTCAGCCCTACCAGAAAACACATTCATTTCTCCTGATTCTCTTTCATTCATTCATTCATTCAGTCATCTTGTTTATCTTCTCCACTAAGGGGGACCTATTATGCAGATTCACTTTTATATAACATTATAATAGTATATAACCTGAGAATAACCAAACCATAGTACTATAATAATATAAGTTTAATTACATTAATTAAATCACTGTTATAAGGGGTTTAAACACAGATGTGTATCTGCAGAGTGTGAATACATCCAGCTTCTGATAGTAAAAATTAATTAATTCCATTTCTTATAATCAGACTTGATGGAAACAGTCTGCAGAAACACTTTGATTGACATTCCCTCTTTGTACATGGAATCAGATGGGGAAACCCCGCCCACTAGTGCCCGTCTCTCCCTAATTAGCATAAACAGCAGCCCTGAGTGAGAAGCAGCCGTCTGTCCATTAGCCATTAGTGTTCGAGCTGCTGTAGATAATGTCAGCATAGACTAAGAGGATTATAGATGTGGAGTTTTAGATGAAGCACAAATGAACAGCTACAGGAGCGACATAGACTGACACAAGCATGAAGCACACACTGATATTCACTTTTACACACTTGAATCTGAATCGAATCTACCACTATGCTGACACTCAGGCATTTGTAGCTCCGCCCTCTTTTGAAAAAAGAGCACAATTTTATTTGCATTGAAAGCGACAGTCACCCAAAAAATACAATTAAGATCAAAGTCTAAAAGGGTCAGTTTCAAAGCGTTATACAACATTATCTGTGTGCTATTTTGAGCTGAAACTTCACACACACACACACACACAGACACACACACACACACACACACATTCACACACTCTCTAGAGACATCAGAGACTTAATGTACATCTCGTAATAAGAGGTCTCCTTTAATGCACTGGTGTTGTTTCTCTCCTCAGCTGATGGGCAGTCTGGAGGAGGTGCACATGCCTCAGAACGGCATTAATTACCCAGGAGTCACAGCTTTAGCCACAGCCATGCAGCATAACCCTCAGCTCAGAGTCCTGAACCTCAACGACAACACCTTCACTAAAAAAGGAGCAATGGCCATGGCTCAGGTACACTCAGGACACAAGGCAAAACAAATATTCATGAAGGCTGTACACATTCACAGTACAAACTGCAGTGCGTTTCTGAAAACCATCATTAGCCAAGGTCACACGAACCGTCCTTACAAACAAAGTATGTTGATTTGGTGTTTTCCAAAGCCGTCGTTCCAACGAACATTCGCAAACTGCGCCGCAAACTTGTGCACTTGCAAATACACCTCAGCTGTAGTTAGAAACATTGTTCCTGGCTGTGTTCTATTCTGTTATCACCCCTATGCCCTAATCATTTAGAACATTCTAACATTTCCACTTGGAATTATAAATAAAGCATTAAGGTCATCTCTCTCAGGTGTAATTTGCTTTCGAATTATTTTTAAAGTTCAGTTTTAGTGATCTTTCATTCATTCATTTTCTTGTGGGCTTAGTCCCTTTATTAATCCAGGGTCGCCACAGCGGAATGAACCGTCAACAAGTTTTTACGCAGCGAATGCCCTTCCAGCCGCAACCCATCTCTGGGAAACACACACACACACATTCATACACACTCATACACTACGGACAATTTAGCCTACCCAATTCAATTCAGTTGTGCAATTCACAGTGAGGCAACAGCACTACCTACTGCGCCACTGCCTCGCCCTGTTTTAGTGATCTTCATATTGACAATTGTGCTCCCTTCGCAGTGCACTTTGAAAACATTGATGTCATTTTGAACACAGCCTCATGACGAAAGCTATAGGTGACCTATTATTTAAAAGCAGAATTTATGTTACATCTCCAAAGCTTGAGAAAACAAAAAAACACAGCATACGTTACTGCTTTCAATTTATAGAGGGTTATTTATTAAGTGTCTGTACTGTATATGCATGGGCCTGCTGGGTAGAACATTTCTGCTGTGGTTTGCATGTGTCAAATTGTAAAAGTAGACTTTTCAAACAATAAACAATATCCTACTTAATAATAATAATCATCATCATCATTAATATTATTATTAAAGTAGGATTGTTTTCATTTCCTAATAAATATTACATTTCATTTCTCAATAAACAGCCTCATTATTTATATATTTATATGATTTATATATGATATTAGAACAGTGTTAGCTTTTGTCAGTGGTTTTATGTTTTAGAATAGGATATGTAATGTTCTCAGTAATATTTGTAAAGAAAACACAGGCTCTATGTGCCGTTAACATATATTTCAGTTAATATGTAAGCAAAAGCATGTTTTTATCTAAACTAATATTGGATTTTATTTAAAATGCGTGTGCGTGTAAGACGATATAATTTGCACAAAAAAATCATGGGGTTCTTCTGTAAAGAAGTCATTCCTCCACCCAGTTAAAAGCGTCATTATGGGAGTTTTACGTTATAACTAACGTGGTCTAAGCGATGGATCTGCGACAGAGAAACTATGCGTTTTGGGCAACACTCATCACTACATCGTTTATTTCCCAAACAATGCATCGTGCTATGATAGTTCAGCTGCGAGTTAAGTCTTTGTTTAGGAAATGCGGCCCTGGTTTTTGACCCCTCACCTATAGAACCGTTTTTACAGCACACTACTGTTGCACACACTGACACACACATGCACACTCCAACACACAATAATAATCTGCTGCTTTATATGGTTTCAGCACTGAAATCACAATGTGCTCATCAGCCTTTTGACAAATTCGATGTTGCACATTATCTCGATCTCTATTAAGCCTATATGCCATACAGATAGCATTTATTATTATTACTATTGACTGCTAGGCAGGACATGATTGGTATAGGCTTTGCATTTTATTATTTAAATTGTATTATTATTATTATTATTAAACATTTATTTGGCTGCTTACATTAGTCCGATGTTTCTAACTAACTAAACTAATGTAGAGATCTGCGCGAGACTAAATTTTGAATCCCGCCCGCACCCGCCAGGTTTTAGCCTGAACCCGATCGTTCCCGCTTACATTCAGCATTTGTTGTCCCGCTGCCCGACTCGCCCCGTTTTCTACCCGCCGCGCCCGATCCCGCTAAAGAGCGGGGGGAGAACAAAACCGAAAACCACCCAGCTATACAGAGTCCAGACAGCCTGTAACAAGCTGTCTGTATAAACACACACACACACATAAGCACAAAGCACAAACACACACAGACAAAGCTCTCTCTCTCTCTCTCTCTTTCTCTCTCTCTCTTATTCGCGTGCGTGCACGCACTCACTCACTCACACACAAACACAAACACACACACACGCACACACACGCACACACACACACACACACACACAGGCAAAGCTCTCTCTCTCACATACACACACAGCAACAAACAAGCTAAACACAGCATCACGCTATTTCATTTACACACATACATACGCGTGCTCGCTCAGGAGTCGGGACAATATTGCTAGACGGGCTGCTCCTGTCCCAAATTAAACCCGTTACCGACCGCTCCCGCGCTTTATTCAGAAATTTATTTCCGCGCCGCAGAAATCTGGTCGGGTGCAGACCTCTAAACTAACGCTCTGCCCGTCTTTCTTTTCATTTTCCTAATTTTTAACAGCTTTGTTAAATTTCAGGACCTAAAATTGCAAACCTCTGCATTTTAATTCATTAATGTAAGCAGTTGTTAATTCAATGCATTATTTATTTTCAGTTTGACAAGCTTTTAGATTCAATACTATTGACATTGATTTTGTTCCATACACAAAATATAGGTTTCATTAGGAAAAAGTCTACAAATGCAAAAGGATAAATCACTTAAATGTGTATTTTGGGTTTTCTCTCCACTAGGTCTGAAACAGCGCACGCTATGGAAGCAAAATAGCCTGTGTGTCTATGATAATGTGAGTGTCTGTGTGTGTTGTAGGCGCTGAAGCATCTGCGTAATGTGCAGGTGATTAACTTTGGTGACTGTCTGGTTCGGTCTGAAGGAGCCAGCGCTTTAGCAGAAACCGTCAGAGAAGGACTGCCCATACTCAAGGTACTGACAGATCAGCGGATAACACAATCAAGCAAGAATAATTGATGATGGGCTGATGAATTATTAAACATGTGGTGATGCTGTGTTATACATCAGGTGTCCATTATTGTCTAATAATTCAACACCCTGGGGTGCATTATTCAGCTTATACCACTGTTATTATAACTGCTCCACTGTTCAGATGGTTTATTTGAGACTTTTGTCAGGTTTTTTTGTCCTCAAACTTGTCCTGTGTGTAGCACTAGTTTCTCACACATCTCCTTCAAAGCCTTCTGTTGTGTTCTGATGTGATTTCTGACTGTTGTAGCTGTGAAATAACTCTAATCATTCAGTGTAGTGATATGGAGCTGTAATGCACTCAAAACCTGCCGGAACTACTTTAGCTGACAATAACCAAACACCTCAGAGTGCTCATCAGCCAATCAGAATCAAGCATTCTGCATTACACTGCAATAAATGCTTTTCTTACTCAGTTGTTTAGTTCATGTCTTGTTTCAAGTCCATATTATTCAATTCAGTTCAGCTTTATTTGTATAGCGCGCTTACAATGTAGATTGTGTCAAAGCAGCTTCACATAGAAGATCATAGTTAATTGAAACATTGTCAGTCCATCTACAAATGAACTGTTTGTTAAATCTACAAATAACACTCTCACCACCTTCAGTGTGAACGTACAGTATGGGACACAATAAAATTGATCTTGACCTTAATTCTGTCGTGCTGTATAGCTTAAAGCAGTGGTCACCAAACTTGTTCCTGGAGGGCCGGTGCCCTACAGATTTTAGCTCCAACTCTAATCAAACACACCTGAACAAGCTAATCAAGGTCTTACTAGGTATACTTGAAACATGCAGGCAGGTGTGTTGAGGCAGGTTGGAGCTAAACCCTGCAGGGACACCGGCCCTCCAGGACCGAGATTGGTGACCCCTGACTTAAAGTAATGGAAGAGAACTCATCATAAGTGTTTGTTGCGTCTCACCAGGAGCTGAATCTGTCCTTTGGAGAAATCATGGAGGAAGCGGCTCTGGAAGTGGCTCAGTCTGTCCAGCACAAAGACCAGTTTGAAAAACTCGACCTGAATGGTAAAAAAACACACACATATAACAACAGATAAACACAACAAAACATCACACAGTTATCAGGATTCACCTGCAAAGACAGCATACTCAAAGTAGATACTCAAGTTGTGCTGATTCGCCTTTATTTAATCCCCCTAATTAAACAAAGATAAAATCAGGATCCTCCATTCGCTATATTTCTTAGCTAGAGTTTAGTTAAAGGATCGTCTTTAGAATGTATTTTGCAAAAGAACAAATTAGATCATACTTTACCACACAGGGTCACTTGATGGGTTCTGGAAAATGAAGTCAATGTCCACTCCAGTAAAGAAAAGTGATAAAATACACTTTTATTAATGAAACAAAATCCAGTGAAAAAGTAGAATAAACAAAAGACAAATAACAGAAACAAAAATCCTTACTTTATCCTCCGTTGAGAATAAAGGTCCTACGACTGTCAGTATACAGAAGTCAGAAAGCGCAAAGCTGAAGAGTACATGTCAGCTTTTATACTCAGTGTCTCAGTGACAATGTTTATAAATTATGCAAAAACTGCTTAACTCATACATTCAAGGAGCATGCTAAATCACTTGAACAATAGGGAGACAGATATATAGTCATCCAAGTACATATAAATCAACACTTAGGCCTTTTTTATATCAGCCTCAATTCCCACAGTTATGCCCCAGATTTAGGTGTGCGAGCTCGGCAGAAGTACGAGCAGAGAGTTCACCTAGAGCAGGGGTTTTCAAAGTGTGAGGCGCGCCTCCCCTGGGGGGCGCCAGAGCATGTCAGGGGAAGCGCGGGAAAAAATATTATATAATAAAAATATATTTATTAAGTTTAATTATTATATGTATTTTTATTATGTATTTAAACGTTTTAATTAAACAAAGCTAAAAAACAAATACGTCAAAAATAAGAAAACCTTTTTTACCCAGAAGGCCATAGCTGTGAATTCGCTTCTGTTTGGCAAGCCTGCCAATACAGGTGTTTGCCTGCTAATCATGCTGCTAATACAATGGATTGTACTAAACCTCCAGAATTTTGTGTGTGTGTGTGTGTGTGCGTGCGTGCGTGCGTGCGTGCATGCGTGTGTTTGGAAGGAGGGGGGCGGCAATGGATAAGTTGTGTCAAAAGGGAGGCCCACTGTCTTAGACTTTGAAAAACCCTGACCTAGAGTATGAAGTTCAGCAAAAGTCTGAGTCAGGGGGTCACTAGAAGTATTAAAGGGTTCACAGAGAGTTCGTCCAGCTGGTTTGTTGGCTCGGCGCGCCCTCTGCCGTAGACGCCTTTCCTTTCTCTTACGCCTGGTTTCATCACAGAGTTGTGCTTTTAAGCATATCAGGATACATCAGTGATTTTTTTGTGTCTCACATGATTAATTTCATCAGACCAATCAGACATGACAAAGTCTGGCTCTCAAAATTGATAGTTAAGATCATAAACTGCCATTAAAGCACATTTAAGATTTAAGAATTGTTATTATTGTTATTATTATTATTATTATTATTATTAATACCTGGCTTAAGAAACCCATTTAAAAACTTACTTTTAGTCATTATTTGGGCTGCACACATATTCTGAATGCCTTCGGCAGGATTCAAATGAGCCATTCTAATCTAGATTAATTCAAAGATTACAGTGAGACTAATCTAGATTGAATCTATTTCCACCTATAATAATAATAATAATAGAAACGCACAGATGATTGTGTTTGTGTAATTCAGGCAACAGTCTGGGTGAAGACGGCTGTAAGAGTCTGAAACAGCTGATGGAGAGCATCAACATGGCAGATAAACTGGGCTCTCTGAGGTATTTCAAGCGCACACACACACACTAAAGATGCATTTTCACATTATGATCATGACCCATTTCTAAATCTGTTTATCTCAGGGGTCTCAAATTTAGTTTGGCAGGGGGCTCAATAGAGGCACATTATTTGATCATTGATGCATTAGACCAGGGGTTCCCAAACTTTTCAGTACGCGACCCCCAAAATGACAATGCCAGTGACTCGTGACCCCCAATATTCTCTGAGGTGGTGGTTATAAATACAGAAACCTTGTATGCAATGACGCGCACAAACACACCAATAGACCCAAGTCTATTCTTTGGTTTTTTTATGTATGTCAGTGCTGTAAATGGGCTAGAAAGTTTAACCTGGTGTTACAAAATCTGCTGCATCTGACAGTATTGCTGTGTCTTCAGTATAATGTAATTACCCGAGAAGTCGCAATCCAATAGAACTAGTAACTATAAGCTACTATAGTAACTATATAGTTTATAGTAACTATAAATTACTATTTTTTTTCTCTTCAGTAGGTTATTGATAAAATACAGTAAGTCTTAAGGTTTCATAAAAATTAATTGATTTTTGAAAATCACCAGGCGACCCTCCTTCATTGTCCCGCGACCCCTCGGGGGGTCCCAACCACCACTTTGAGAACTTCTGCATTAGACAACAGATACCAGTGATAACACTTGCAGCATTCGAAAAAACATTGAGGTGTGTGAGGAAAACACAAGTGGTGCACAATGTTATGTTGCGTCACGGCACAGCGTAAAGAGACGAAATAAAAAAAGGTAATTAAACCAATAAATCCAGTGATTGCTCTGTATTTTCTGTACAGAGAGGTCGAGTTTGATCATAGACTAAAAGATGTGGACGTAGTGTCCGTGACGTCACCCATACGTTTCTGAAGAGCACAAATGAAGCTACAAGTGGGCGTGGCCAACCGGCGACGTTTTGTTGACATCGCTGCATATTTGTAATTTGTCAATAAGTGAGCGTCCCCTTAGCAATCATCTCATGCGCAACATTACTTGCTTCAATTAAAAATCAGCCTCCTTTTTACTGATACTTAGGCTGTTTCTCAATACCAAGTACGAAAGTTCGGACTTGCGTCCTTGGAAGTTCAGACTTGGAAGAACGAACTCCCGAGGACACAAGTCGGGTACTTCTTCAAATGGAACAGCAGTGTACTTCATAACATCACTTACCTCACCATGGATTCATCAGTTTCACTGTACATTAACAATAAGATTATTTAATTCATATTATATTGATATTATAAATCTACATTTTTGATTTAAGAATATGTACACATATATTCATAGAAATGTTAATTACGATGAGTTATTATACACTGACACGTGTCTTTGATTATCAGATTTATTAAACTACAATAGTAATTATACACACAGTAAGAAATAAAGACACACGATAAGAAATAAAGATTAGGTCAAACAATTCTGTAAAAGACAAACAGCGTACAACACGGCAACATAATTATAGACAATTATAAAAGGTAACAAAATAACACTGCCATAGTAATACACCTAAGAACAAATAACAGATTTATAAGACCAAAAACTGACCGTTAGATATGCACAAGATGTATTAAATATCATGTTTTAACTACAATGGAGTGATGAGATCCAGCGGTACATCCGAGATGGCCTGACCGAAGTAAAGCTGCTCTGGCGGGGGAGCTGATGACGGAGCTCCCGCTGGCAGTCTGGGAGTCGGAGTCCGCATAAGCTGAGCCACATTGTTAAAGAAGCGCTATCTTTGTGAATAAACTGCCGATTCGAGTTTAAAACAACGACATTCTCGCCTGAAAAACTCTTAAAACTTTATTTTGTGACACAGTAAAGGAGTATTTTTAAAACTGTGCGGGTTTCCTCCTCCACCATTAGCGCTTGCTGGTTACGCTGCAATGCATTCTGGGATACCTGAGCTTCGCATGTTCACACAAGTCACCTCTCGATGCATCCTTGGCCAAAGGGGCAGAGCAAGTACACATCCGGGAATTTCATGTGTACTTAGCAAGATGTGAACTTTGAATTGGAACAGTACTTTGGCGCGGTTGATGATGTTTCACGAGGACACAAGAACGCAAGTACAGACAAGAACGTATATTGAGAAACAGCTTTACACTGGTCGCCGTCTTTTTGCACCTTGTTCATATTGAATGGGTTGTTTAAACTTTTACATCTCCTTGTATTTGTGATGTCAGTTTTGGGTCAGAGAAAGGTGGAGGGTGGGCAGTTTGAGACCCCTGGTTTATCTGAATGTGAAAGAAATGCATTTATTAAACATTACCAAGCTTTAGCTTCTGGAGTTTACTTTCTGTTCTTGTCGCAGTGATGATGAGGGAGAACCTGAGGATGATGAAGATGATGACGATGACGATGATGATGATGACGACGATGATGAAGATGTAGAGGAAGAAGAGGAGGAGGAGGAAGAAAAGACCGAATTAAACCAGGTTTGATCAAGCAGAATTCAACATCACAACCAGTGCTGGGTGGAATGAGTTACAGAGCAGGGTTGGGTCGATAGACAATGCCATCGTCCATCCCCTATAGCCGATAGACATCCCGATGCGGATCCAGCATTGCAATCCTCCGCCCTGCCCCCGTCACAGCAGCAACCTGCTCACAAAAAATACACACTTAAGGGGGTCACACACCAGACGCACTGCGACACATGACAGTTTAAAGCAGGGGTCACCAATCTCGGTCCTGGAAGGCCAGTGTCTCTGCAGGATTTAGCTCCAAATTGCCTCAACACACCTGCCTGGATGTTTAAAGTATACCAAGTGAGACCTTGATTAGTTTGTTCAGGTGTGTTTGATTAGGGTTGGAGCTAATATCTCCAGGACACCAGGAACAAGTTTGGTGACCACTGGTTTACGCACACATTGGCATGTTATTTAAAATGAAACTAATCAGATGGCGCTCTGTAACGCGGCAGAAATATGAACAGCGTTCTGAGTCATGGCTGGGCGGAGCTGGTGTGTGTACCCTGATAGAAACCTGTGTTTAGAATTCTAAAATCCATGGCGCTGTGTGGCACGTCACTGAGCATCTCTTCTGGTGTGCGACCTGCTTTAGGCCCAGTTTACACTGATACGTCTTAAAATGGCATTTTAGAATGAAAACAATCCACGTCCACACTGGTGTTTTATCTAGCATTTCTGAACAGCCCTTCGTCCACACTAAACCACTGAAAACGCACATCACGTGACCTCACACACACAAACACACACACACTCTGGCATGTGCTGCAACATATGTGCACGTCTAAGCTCCAGCAGTCAGCGGGTGCTTTGAGCACAAAAGAGAGCAGTGCCTGTCGGACAGTTTATCAAGGATGTACTGCTGCATGGCGTCTCACTATAGCTGTTAAAGGGGATCTTTAATTAATCTTGTCTCTCTCTAATGACTCTTTGGTCTTTTGAATCTATCAGGTAACGTGTTACAGCGTCAGTACACTGCTTCAGTCTTTCACTTTCACACTTGTACTCAGTAATTTTAGGTAAACCTGAAATACTGTCGACACAGATCACTCTGCCTATTCATGCTAGAGTCCTTCGGGAAAAGTGATTGACAGGTGGTCATTTGTATGTAACTTATCTTTATTAATATGATTTGGTTATGGGTTAAATAAAGAGCATGCAGGTCAGGCAGTCAAAAGGTAGGCTACAAATACTCTACTTTGTTTTGCTTCTATGTATGTGTATCACATAGCACACACACATGTTTGCTTTTGTGAAAAGTGGGGACATTACATAGGTTTCCATTCATTTT